GGATTGAGAAAGGCATTTTAAAAGTGTATCTTAGGTCGGGATTACGTAATATTATTTGGGTTTATATTTATCTTCTGATCCTTATCAAACTTTTCTATCTATTCCGAAGGTTGTACCACAATTACTACCTCATTGATGTCAATATTTGCCCGATTAAGTTTGCTTAAATGGAAAATCGCAGAGCATGTAGCTCTTCTTAGCAAGTAATCGAGAGCGATTAACATAGCCGGTTTGTCCATCCTAATCTGTGACAATGAGAAAGAAGGAAACAAAAGTTGACGTCAGGGACAAGAATATGTTTTGAGTTGATCCCCGTTGCAGTAATTATTTTCTTACAGAGTGACCGAATTCGTTTCCGACTATTATCCCCATCAAAAGCAATCATCCATACAGGGAAATTGGAACCCAACTTCAACTCATTTAGCTTCACCACTCCCCTCTCCCATACACATGCATGCTTAAGGAAAACCATTCCAACCATAACGTTGTAAAGCAAAATACTGGCTCTCCTCCCGACCTTTTAATTAGCTTATAGACGGCCTACGTCAGTATGAGACCACCTTCCGAGGTTATGTATCATCTGTGGAATCCCCAAAGAAGCCGTAATTTGGAAAGTGCTGGTACATACCTACCATAGCGGCCTTACGAAGTAGGCCCTTAGCCTCCATCAAGGCCTCTCGCTCAGCTTCTGATGACAGCAATGTCCGCGCACGATCATAACTCGTCCAATCGTATGGCTCCTCCGGATCTGGCGCGTCTTCGAACCTGTCCCCATCGATTCCCTGAGGAGAGGGATCGGTAGCAAACATAATATACAGCGCAATGCAGCGAAGAAGTTCATCCTCTTGCTTATAGTATATCACTGGTGGGATCCATGATGGAACATAAAAGTTGTCACAGCTTACATCACAACCCTCACACACCGCACGTATCGCGCACTCGGTTGCCGTTTCCGATGATGACGCGGGCGTATATGGGAAGAACATCCTGTCAGGATGATTTGTGTCAGATAAGTTACGAATCAGTGCGCATTTGCGTCCACGTATCAGAATACCACCATAATTATATGCGATATTGGATATGTTGTAGGGTGGCAGACTGTCTACTGAGTCTCCAACAGTGAATGAACTCTGTATTTCGTTCACGGTTAACGCCCGCAGCGTGCGTGGATGCAGATACGTCCGACCTACTTTATCACGTACCAGTGACGCCGTCAATTCTACCGCCACACCTTTTTCCCTTGTCGATTTCACGCGCTTCAAAAGGTCCGGTGCCGTTTCACGCATACAGGACTCAAGCCCTTCCACAACCACCTGACCCTCAATTGAACCCACAATCCCACGCGCAAGGTCCATGATGCGACCCTCCACAAGCAGCTTAACTGAACCTGTCAAGTGCTGCAGCCCAGAAAGGCCAAAAAAGAGTGACTCTCCTTTCTCGGAATCATCTTCCCATTTGTTTTTCGCATCGTTTTCAGTATCCTCAACAGTGGCAACCGCTGTATCAGCGTCATGCCCGCAGCCAAAGCTGGCTGTAAGATGTTTATCTACTTTATCGTGGTTGCTTGGATCCAAATCGCACGGTTGCACCACCTGCTCCACACTCTTTGTCTGGGAGCTTAGTACAAAGTCAATTCTGTACACACGCGGTGTCAAAAAACGTGTAGCGAGATCAACCTCCGTCCCGTCTGCCACTACCCCTGCGTGGCGCGCTACCGCAGCAAACAGTGAGGGCTCCAGGTCTGTGATGACAGACCACGCCGCAAACAGCGGACCCTCTACTTGCACAGTCGACAGCCACTTAGTCCAATCGGAGGCAGTCGATGCATCAGCCACCAGCACCACTAACTCAGGGAGGGGGTATGCATCTGGCTTTAGGTCTCGCATACGCAACACCTCTTGCACAAGATTCTTGCAGTCTTCCAGCAGTGACGGTAAAACGAGGACAGCTCGTCCTATGAGTCTGTCACGGTGACCAAGCTGCTTCTCGCCCACCAATACGTATTTCAACGCCAACAGTGCGGACACGCCAGCGGCTACCAGCGTACTATTGTGAGGATTGAGCTTCGTGATTACGTTGCTCAGACGCTTGAGGAGCGGACCGACTGCGGCGCCGTTGATCAGCTCTTCCTGCTCGTATTGCGGGCCATCAAGTGTGGAGGTGTCCGCCAAGTACACGGCGTGTGTTGTGTTCGGCGCCGCATCAAAGACTAATGCGCTGAAACTCTCCCACTGCTTGCATGGATGCTGCTGAGTCGTCTTCGACTTCTTTGTCTTAAGGATAAATATGGGAGCCTCTGGAGAGAAACACACCTGGTACCCGGCCCGAGAGTTGGAAAAGGCAAAGAGGCGAACGCTCTGGTCCTGCGCAGTGCCAAGGACATTCTCTTGGTGATACTTCTTGTCGTGACGACTCATGCCTAACATCAAATTGCTTTTTTCCGCTTCTTTCAGTAGTGATAAAACTAAACCTTATAGAGAGAACCCAGCTTAGACTATGGCTTTGAGTGCGTTTGAGCTCAAAATGTCAATTTCCACCACCTTGTTTTCCTTTAAAGGAGGGTTACTGAGAATAACGAAACCAGGAAAGAAAAATTCAAGTGAAATTTATAAATAAATATCGAGCAATTGTTCGGCGTACATACACTCAATGCAATGCAGATCGGAATGGAAAATTGGAAGGAACTGGTTTTCTTCCTGATATTTTGAGGATCCCGAAACTTCAGAGCCGGAGACATGCCTGGGTAAAATAATGATAATAATAACACTGATGATCATTCAAATATATTCTATTTCACCATCAATAGCTCATGTTGATCGACAATACAAATCGCGACGGGTATCTCCGTACAGACTATAAAAGGCATCCCAGCCCCCCTCGAGTACTGCTACTTTAGGGAGCGTAAGCCCCAACTCTTTCTGCACAAGGGCAAACCGGTTAGCACCTCGTGGACCACGTATCTGCGACATCGCGCAGTGGAACACGGCAAGTTCGATCTTGCCCTCCAAAAGTTTTTTAGCCAAGCACCTGTACATATCTGTAGTGTAACTTATGGTAGGTGCGTGGATAGAACCTACTATGAAACCTTCGGAAATGTCTGCATCGCGACAATCGATAACGGCAAGCTTCGCTTTGTGTTCCGGATCATCCATCAACTCTACCAATTCACTTACCCCAATATAATGATAGCTTGCCATTGTCTACAAATTATCCTGCTATTCAATATCTGTTACAGGAAATGTCACTAAAAATGCTCTTAAGGATGTTGAAAGGCAACACAGTATGGGCATGATAAAGAATTTCGACATATTTATTTCACATTCGGTTCCCAGATTTTATTGTTGGGGCCCCCTCACCTCCACTGGTACGTCTAGAAATCACATATGAACAAATTCGAAAAGATAAGCAAATGAAAGTAGAATTCCTACTAGAGCAAAAGAGCTCTTAAATGGAATTGTCCCCCTCCTTAGGAAATGTAAAAAAAAAAAACTGCCCCATTTTACTACCCGATTTATATGGTCGTACACACACACGTTTCCCTATCTCATACTTTCTTGCCGGGAGTATTCGAAGCCAAAATACTTCACCCCTCCCTCTTTTCTTCTACCACAATAGCAAAAAGACGACTACTTTTTTAAAATCACGCCAGTTGATTATTATATGGATGTGAGTATTTTGCATCCCTTTACATATGGTTTAGGAGAAGAGGCACAAGCGCGGCTTGTGCATGTACCATTTGCCGGTGGGAATCTCTGACATTTAGATACCGATGCAGCGTTTCTACAACAGCTGCCTGCTGAGCACCCATATTAATCATGAACACGGCAGCGATGTCATAAATCATTTGGAGTGTCTCTAGGAGCTGCCATCGCAGCGGGGCTATTTCTGTGACAGCAAACCCCAAGTAAATACTTGCCATCACCCTCGGGTACGCAAGCAGCAGCAACGACTGGACGTGCTCCGCGTAGTGAGGAAAGATATATGGTTGTGGATGATAGTCAGCATAGTTGCCAAAGAAACGCATATGAACAGCTTCAATCTTCTTCAAGTAGTGCATTGACACTTCTATAGATTCTGCTTGGCGACTTCCGCGAGCCTTTGCCTTCCCCATGTACTTGGTGTAGGTCGGTGGCCTACTATTAAGTAAGTCAACCTCTCCCAAAGGGAACCAAGAGGGTTCCTCAAAACTACTGGGAGAAAAGGAGGCGTTAAAATTCGTAGTGCTGGAGGTAGAGTCGCAATCGTGGCTCGAGCCAAGATTTGTGGCACCGTCGTTGACTCTGGTAAAGGTGGTAGCGTTTACAGATCTGGTCATCGGGGCCTCAAGAATATTCGAGTCTATCTTTAGCTCTTGGAACCTGGCGACTACATTTTTCTCGTGTTCACCCATAGTAAAGCCGGATGAATTTAGAATAGACTTTTGCTCTTGCTTCGACTGGCCTTGCCGAGGCCCTGAACTGTCATCAGCACTGCTGAGACGTTGCGTAGAACCTTCGTTTCGTCTGATATTTGTCGCGCTGGTAGCATCTTTGGCTGCGCCATCTAGGTTCGTAGACGAGATGCCCCCATGAAATTGGTGTGGCTCGATCAACTTTCCGCCTCGATATTGGCACAGTAGTTGGTCTGTGAAAAGACGAGAAAAAGTTTGATCCTGCTCAAGTTGGCGTTCAACCTCTTGTGGAGTCCGATCGTACATATCCAGATCCCATTTTTTCTGCTTTATGCGTTCAAAGATCTTTCGTATATATTCAACATCAGGCGGAAAGTCTAAGAACTCCGCACTCGCCGAGATAAACTGCTCCAAGCTAATAGAGGTATTCTTGGCATTTGAATTGTGAAGGTTTGTGTGTAGAAACAGCAATGCACCGGCCATCGTGTCAGCATCCTTTGGCGTAATCACACGTGGATTTTGCTCGGCATAAGCTTCACCAAAAATAGCCTGAATTGTTTCCCACACCTGTGCCTCAAACATAGGCGCATCCCACGACACAAACTTGCATAAGGTGTCGCGGAACGCGATATCAATAGGTACACCTCTGTAATGAAATAAGCTAAAGTAATCTCTTAATAGAACTAGAGTCGTATATTCACCCTTTTTGTTAACATGCTCTATAATTTTGCTGAGAGCATCACGTGTAATACCGGGGTACTCGTGCAAAAAACGCGCAAATTCTGCGTGACTGGAATTCCCTCCAGTCACTGTCTCACCCTTCAGCTCTGCCTCGCTCGGCATGCGCACTGGGAGGCATTTACATGACTCCAGGAAACTCTTGGCCTCTTTCCATTTTCCGGTGTTAACCATACGCGCTGCCTTTTTGAAAATACGCTTATTATTGAGTTGGTAGTGAAGGTGTTTCCAGTGATACTGTACACAACCTTCCTGAGAGAGCGTAGCCGCGTTCATGATCGATCCCTTTGCCTGTGAAATGTCCCCGAGATGTGAAAATTCTGTACTGGAATCGACATTAGCGTTGGAGACAGGCGTCAGATAGATATGAGACTGAGAAAAACCTACTGTATCATAACTGGCTTTGAATGTAGATAACAGGTCGGTGGTAGTTGATAGTCCACAGGATTCACCCAACACGTTCGTTCTCTCATAGGCAGACGGATGCGCCTCCGGTAAAACAATGTCTGATGCCCGCTCGATTCCACTGCGACATGCATTGATTTCCTCTATCAAGCTGGGTACAGGGGCCTCAGGATCTTCGGCAATCCAACGGTACAAAGAGTTTGTAAGAATAGACATGATTGTGAAGCACTCGGCTTGCAGGAGCTGATTCTCTTCCTCACGAAGCTGTGGACCTTCTCGATCTCCCGAAGTGTAATCCAGGTAGGCAAGCTCTACGACAAAATCAACAAACATCTCCACCATATCACCACTGTGGCCGTCCGCCCCGATAGCAGGATTGCAGTCGTAATTAATAAAAAATGAAATGAGCAAACGTGGTAAAGAAAGGAGGTCACGTATCATGGAAAGTACTGCGAATTTTTGCCTGAAATCACAATACTTGGACTTGACCTGCGGAAGGAGAAAGACCACTAGCATTGCATTCAACTCCCGTCCTAGGTGATAGTGGCATTTGATTAGCAATAGCTTGAGAACGTAGATTGCGGAATTAAAGAGCAAAAATGGAGCTGTGATGGACAGATTGTGTACCAGACAGCCAATGACCTCAAAACCGCACGCAGACAGGATCAGAGACATCCATATTGAGCAAGGGTGTTCCTCCTCGCAGTTGGCAATGGGGAGCTCAATGAAAATCAGTTGCAACAGGCCAAGGGTGAGCTGCCTGAGATGCAGACCTACACCACCCTCGTTGGGCGACCCAAGGCAAGTCTGGGAAGCCATGTTGCAGATGACACGGAGAAGAAGCAGGAAATTCTTCAACGCCGTGGGTAGTCCATTAGGTTGATGCCCCAGCACCCGCGCACCACGCCTCAGAGCCAACTCCTGCAGACCAACAGGGAACAGGCGAAGTGGGTCGAAAGAGACTGAGGCGGCCGAGGAGTCGTCGTGGGCGACCTGGTGAAGCTCCTCGGACGCTGTAAATGTGCGCCGTCCTTCTCCACACACTCGCACAGAAGTGTCGATCACATCGATGCGCGTGTAAGGGGCGTCGGGTGGGACGTGGGTAGTGTAGTCACCCAAAGGGGTAGTTGTGACGAACCTATATGAAGACATTTCGGGAACACCATCCCTGGAGGGAACTATGGACAGAGACTCCTTCACAAACCTACGTGTCACGCACAAGACGCACTGTTTCAAGACCTTATGACAACACTCACGAAGAGGCTCCTGGCACGTCCACGTTGCGACTGTGAATACTGAACGAAGGGTCCGTGTTATGGATCGACCTGTGAGAAAATCTTGACCCTTGTCACTGAGCAACCCCTGGAGTTGGAAAAGGATGCATGACTGGACGCTCGACTCAGAGGTAGTGCCTAGGAACTCGGTGAGCACCTCAAAAACACCCTCACCGACGCTGCATAAGACGCTATTTGATGAAGCCGAAACTTCATTTCCCCTCGCTTCAGAAGTGTTGATGTAAGGATGCATGAAGATTTTTGTGGGAACGTTGAGGTTAGTCTCTTGACATAGCAACATACTGTTCAGGGCGTTGAGCGCCTTTTCCAAAAGCTTCCTTTTTTTAAAGTAAAAAGCACTTAATACGGTGCTCCACAATGCATCGCTTTGAAGGAAAGACATGTAGTTGCTGTCGTCGTTAAACAAATTTTCTCTGTCCTTTTGTGTGTCGCTGGTGATGTTGGTGCCCTTTATTATATTTGTACCCTCAGAAAAGCTTGCCGAAGCGAGTTTAGGTATCTGCTTGACCAAAAGTGGCGAGATCCCGGATGAAGAAGCATGGATAACCTTATTTGCACGCTGCAGCTGCATATAGAACTCACAATCTATCGAACCTAAAGAATAAGCTATTGTGGAGTTAATTTTTTTTAATAAACCCGAGCAAGCTTCAATCGTATCCTGAACGTGATCTCTCAGCATGATAACCAGTGCTGGATAGCTAATTGCAATAAAAACATGTGAAAAAAAACTAAATTTATAGTATTTATTAATTGAAATTCTTCAGACACCTGAACGTGATATTTGTTGATATGTATGATCCAAATACTTCTGTTGATAGTTTACCCCTTGATTTTCGTTGTACTATCCTGCAAAAAAAAAAAGGAAGTGATGAATAAAATTTGCTTGATACATATACATATAAAAAGCTTTTCTTTCTGGCACTGTAAACTGTGCAATACTTTCTTATTACTGAACTTTCTTAGAAAGTACATCCATTTTGGGGAACCTATGAAACTTAACCATCTATTGCAGAAACAAAAAAAAACTGAGGACAGATACTTTACCTCTCTGAAACGCATATATCTGATGAATCTTAATGATGCAAGTGCTTGAAAAACATCAAAGTCATTTTATCTTTTGAATCTCTAAAATCTCACAGACCTACTCTCTACATCCTTTAATCCAGCCTTGAAGCTAAGATTTCCAAAGCAAACAGGACAAGAAGCGCCAATCCAGGTCAAATTGACGCCTCTGGATCTGCAGGGTAAGAACAAGAGAAGTCACTTGAGCATAATTGGGGCTAAATTCCTTCAAGAGGTATCTAAATTTAAGCGAATACTTCGTGGTACTTTCATCATTAAATAATTCAGTAGAGCAATTCTTCGCTCCTGCAAGGATGTTTTCAATCATGACAACTGAGCCTACTGAGTGCATACCAATGAAACCATGCACCTAACGGCCTTTTCAACCAACTCTGATGAAACGTACGGGAAAAAAAGGAGATGCAGCAGCTTACTTCTCATTTTTGTCTACGTCGGAGAAAGCGCGTGCATGCGAATGTCACAGGGAATATGTTTTGCCGTTCCGAGTCATAAAATGGCATTTCAGAAAGAAAAAGAAGAGTATAAAAACATACGCAGTCAAAAACAACACATAACCCTCCAACAAAAATAAAATGAAAAATGACTACAAAAAAACAAAAAGTGAAAGACGCACAAGAAAATGAAGTGGGAAAAAAAAGAAAAATGTATTTAAGCTTAGATTTCGAGTTAGAAATAGATACATATTTAAATAACTGCAGGCGCACACGTACACGCATTATGATTTATCATACTCAATTCTATGGAATCTTTGGTAATATATAAAAAGAAAATGCCGATGCAAATAAACGGACCTTACAGGTATGATCACTGCCAAAAAAAAAGACATCTTGTTTATATCAATCCCCATTTTAAAAATCTGGCACTATAGTCCTCTTTTCGTTCTATCACTTTTCGCTAAGACAAAAAACAAATGAACAGAGCAACAATTTCAAAACAGAGAACGCATCAGGGGGTATAAAAAAAAACTGTGAAAGAGAAATTGACTCGAATGAACAGCAGCAACAAATTAGAATTAGCTTTTGATACACAATAATAAATAAACAAGAAAGCAATTGGTAGATAACTTAAAAAGCTTAAATTCGAGAATTTACTAATATGCAAAAAGAATGATATAATTAAAGCGACAGGAGAGGGAAAGGTTTAACACAAACGTCATCATGGCTGTGAATCCTTAAATTCCAGTATATCGACAAAGAATAATATGAAAAATATTAAAACACAAATATTTTCTTTAGTGCATGTACTCTTTTGGTGTTTTCCACGATTCGTATTTTACTTAAAGCCATTTGCTTCCCATTTACGCCACCCTTTCTGTGATACTGCTTCGCCAGACTCCAATTGATATTATACATCTTTTTGCTCAAGTATGAAAGCAATGTAATGAAAATAAGGATAAAGCACGACAAGAATGGCGAATTAAGTTTCTTCTTTCAGAATGATATTAAATTTTCCTGCGTATAATGAAAGGATTCAAAATTAGGAATAGTGTAAATTAATTATAATCTTTTTCTGATTCATTTTAGTCCTTGCTTTCCATATTTACAATAATTATATCAGAAATCGAGAGGAAAAGAAGTTCTATGATCGTACAACTTGCTATGTGCATAGATAACAAAAAGAGAAGAGAGAGGACAGGGAGTCGAGCGAAGAGCCACAGAGAAGTACAGCCAGTCACATATACCATACCACCCATACAGTCATGGTATGCAGTGAGCAATTGGACCGTTTGTGCGAAACTTAATAAGGGAACTTTTAAAAAGCTGTCAAAAAAAGGTAGCATTACTCTGAAAAGGTTCGCATCAATAATGGGCAAATGTAACGAAAATCAACTCAATAAAAAATAGTTCCCCCGGGTTTGTTCCTACTAATGTTTGTTGTCAAAAATATTCACAGCTCATGTATAACACGATAGTTCATATTTATTGCAGCAACTATTTTCAGTTCCACTATTTGCTTTATTATACATCCTAGCGATTGTCAGAATCCATATTCACAAAGTAAGAACGCAGATAAGATTTTCTGACTGAAGCCTCCATTTGTAGATGATAATGAGACGGACGCGGAGAAAAAAACGTCAAAACACCACCTGGACGCAAAAATGTGTCGTTATATTCCCAAATAAATAGAAAAATAGTTTAGGGTTGTTTCGAGTTCGACACTATCTTAAATTTCCACTCCAAGAGTTCTCATAGATCAGAAATAACCCTAAATTATACTTCTCTTATCAGGTATGCATATAATATTAAGAAGCTTCAATTTGGTAAAACTAGGGTATTATAAAATGAAGGCATATTCACATAACAACGCAACACCTAGGCTGGTTTGCTTTGGCTTTAAGTAGGTGACCCTGACGTTTCCTTGAGTCTTTATTGGAAATCCCAACATCCTCTCTCATATCACTCACTAAAATCGGCATATCCCCCGTGCGAAGAGATTGCAATGGTTGGCATGAGTGCGTGGAGTTATTATGCATGTCCCTAGCACTTGAGTTAAGAGATAGAGATAAGGATGATCCACCACGATGGGTACAAGGAGAGTCTCCAAAATTATGTTTTTCTAAAGGCTTCAAATTCGATAGTTGTGACGGTAACGCTGAGGACTGACAAGGCAGTGGTGTCGGAACACAATGGACATCGGTATCATTCTGTGCAATCAATGTGCTATTACTGCTTGTGTGCGCCAAAGGTGACACATATTTATCATCTAATACCACTTGAGCCGAGCTCGAACTAGGAAACTTGCGGTCTTCGAGCAAGGCTGCCCCCGTCACAGCCTTTTTCCAGTGGAACGGACGAGGCTTCAACGCCGATCGCGACGGAATCGCAGCTACTTTTACGATGGTGCGCCCCATGGGCCTTGTTCCCTCTAATGAATCCTTCTCACCCTTCGAGGGATCTGAGGGGTGGAGAGGACGGCTTGCGCTTTCCTTTGTGTCCTGGTGCAAGGGTTCACCATTTGTGTGGTTTTCTTGAGTTTGGTGTGAATCCAAACATACCTCTGCTACTGCCATCTCCCGTCCTTGCTTGGGGCTTTGAACTTTGGAAGGCAGCGCCATCGCATCTGTTTTGAGGGGTAAAAATGAAATCTGATCGGATCCTTTGTCCACACATACCATGCGCTCTTCATTAAGGACTTGATCTGGAGCTCCGCATAGAACATTGGAAATCGTTTCTTCCTGTTCACGACCGCCCTCAATTTGCTCAAACGCCGACGCAATGGTGTTTGCTCCAGGAAATCGTGCACACGCATTTGGAGACTCACCCACACGACTTCCAGAGTGGATAGAGTCACTGATGATCAAATTAGGCGATAATGGATCGTCTTTGACAGCTGCTGCTGCGGAAGGTTGGCTTGTTCGCTGAGAGCAGGACCTATCCAGCGAAGTCAGTTGTGAACGCTTCAGTGGTGGGCTATCAAAAGCCGCCGACCCGGACACGATGACGGGCGTCGATCTCACAGAATTTAATACTTGCTTTGAAGAGACGGATTTATCCCTCTTAATCGTAGAAAAAGAGGGAAACGCGCGTATCGACGGTAATTTTTTGCTACTGCTACTTTTTTGGTCCTGTGGCTTCCGCGGTTCGCGCTGAGAAAGCGGGCCTGATGGAGTGGTAGTCAACGCAGCGTTATCCCTCGTCCTTCTGGACTGTAGTAAATCCGCCGTTAACACATCACAGGATTTGTTCGCCAACGCGGTTGTCGATCCAATTCCATTCGAAGTGTTATCTCTGGAAGCCTCCTTTCCTTTGCGAGACACAGTTGTGGTAGTATTAGAGTGAAGAGTTGCAATACCTATAACATCGTTGACATAAGTGTTTTGAGTATTCAAGGGCGAAGAGTACAACGAGGTGTTGTTTTGGGTTGTATGAATAGCTATCGGGGTTTCTGCACCGGTCGGCAACGTCGACGTCGGAGCGCTTTCCACAAAGGAGTTCACATCAAGACAGCCTGAGGACTCACTCGCAATAGAGGGAACAGGAACCTTAAATCCCCTCTTCTCGGAACTAGTGGGATATAAATTTTCTTTATATGTGGTACCCTTCAGAGATCTGCCAACATGAGAAGGAGAGCGGTTACAGCCCTGCAGTGTTAGGCTTTTCCTGAACGTAAAAGACGATCCCCTCTGCTTCTCGTTGAACCAAGCACGACGCAGAAAGCCCTTGGCATTGCGCTGAGCCGTAGTAGTTTTAGGTGTGGCTAGAGCAGCGTCTGCATCCGTTTTTTGCTGATGAGATCCATCTACCCTCGCTGAATGCATGGATTTCAATGAATTGTGTGGAAAGTAACACGGGTGGTGAACTCGCCAGAGGGACCCACTGTTGATGTTAATTATGGTATTCAATTCAACTGAGTTACTCATAGGGGTAGAGTTGATAGAAATCTGAGAACTTAGCGGTGTCATTGCCGCATTCAAGGTAGGTGATCCCATCACAGTACTCACACTGGCACGGGAAAGTGACATTAGCCTTTGTCTACGTAAACGGGATTGTTTCATTAAATCGCGTGTCATGCGCCCTGCATCTCGGGCAGCCGTCAACGCCCTCCAGAACTCACCTTCCCAGTATGATTCCTCAACGTCAGGCTTGAAATTCATCAATTCCGTCGCGATGCCATCCAGCTCCACCGGGTCGGGTGGGCACAGTTTACCGATTTTATCCGCCTCGCTAACCTCCGATACATCAACGAAATTAAAAGCAAATGGTCCGGTCTCAACAGCAAGAGTGATTGTTGGCACCTGTCGATATGTATCGAGTACTCGCTGGCACGTGCTTGCAGAGACGTTGGATAATTGCATCGCTGTTGGTGGTTTATAAATGACATGTTCAGCTGAGAGAGAAAGATGCTTCAGATACGGGACCACATCTTTTAGGTCTAATTCATTGGCTGATCCTGTGGAAGAAGCTGTTGGGAAGCCAGGGTTGGTGTTGGTCGAGACTTTCGGAGTGCTCGATGCGCTCGCGAATACTGTTGGATAATACGCAGTAGCAAGCACTACTGGATCTCTAGAATTTCGACTACATTCTTTCATTTACCAGACCGGACCCCTCTGATTCACCTATTCTAATATTATTCGCCTCCCCCCTTCCTCGTGCGCTTTAGCTAGAAACTACGTGTGAAGAATAATTAAAAAACCACACTGCTTCGAAATCTCTCCAATACACAGAAAGACAGAAAATGAGACTTGTCACGTTAGTCAAATTCTTATTAGAAATTGTTGAATATCTTTTTGGTTAATTATTTATATCCTTCAGAGATAAGGTACAAATGTAGACGTAACTGTATACTTGTTTGTGATGCTAGAAGAGTTGGTATCACTTAGATAGCTATCAAATCCATAAATTATAAATGACAAGAATTCTAAAACAAACAAAATCATTAAAATCCCAAGAGCTACATTATCAAAGGCATATATATATATATATGGTGGAATGCTTTGAATCGTAAGATACAGCATAAGAATACTGCCAAGTAACAGAGGACACCATTTATCCCTACAATACTGTATTTTACGTTAGCTTTATGGAATCACAAGGTAAATCTAATTGTCTAAAGTGCTCACAGTTAATCCGCCTTGTCTCAAATACAGTTAAGAGGGAAGGAAAGGGAAAAAATGTCACATCAAAATCACTTTCCCTTCATTTTTTATACTGGAAAATCGTGGAAGACAAATATGCTCTAATTGGAAAATTTTCACGAGCAGTTAATTGCACAAATGTGAATCTTATTACCTTTGTTATATACGCTTATTATCAACCCTTTCGATCATGGTATGGGCATGGCCGCACTCTATTGCACATTTTGCCACTGCGTTGAAGTCGTGCCTCACAAAGTACCGCATCACCGAACCCGCAAAGACTCGTGTTCAACATTGTCGGGGCACAACCGTTATTATGTTTAGTTTGTTTCTCTTGCTGTTCATTTCGTCTACTATTATCTGACGGATCTTGTGAATCTTGCGACTCTGTGGCAGAGGAAAAAACAGCACACTTACCATTGCCTGAGCTGGTCTCCTCATCAGCCTCTTTATCAATATCAAGTTTCTTTTGTTGGTTAGGAGCAGTAAAAAGGCTATTATCGCTTTGATCAAGGAAGGATAGGATAGTGGAAGGCCGAAGAACTACTTCTCCAGATGACTTAGAACGCGACAAACTGGTGAGACACGAGAACTTGAGCGCTCGACGATTCGAGTGAGAAGCACAACGAGCTATGGCACAACGCACCTGGGCATCCAATTCGTCCTGTTGATTCTCCAGAGATGTAGGTACCATACCCACACATGTCAGCTCATTTCCTTTATCTCCTGAGTCTTCATATACACGTCTGGGTTCCTGATCCTTTTCTTCCTCATTGGACTGCAAATGCGACGGAGACATAGGACCCAAATACTGCAAGTATTCTGACATGTACTGCTCATTTCCCATGGGCATGAGGCTACGAAGATAAGATGCAATCATCTGAGTGAGCTGGCCGGCCACAGGGTTTTGGCTCGTAAATTCGCAACATACCTGGAGGGCATCCGCGTAACGCCGCATGAGAATATAAAAGCGCAGCCGCAGCCAGTTCCGTCGAGTAGCATCGCGGCACGAGCATAGCACTCTCTCCACTGCCCGCTCCTGCGCGCTGCCAACACGAATTAAGCTACGCAGCGGGATTACATCTCCCAGCTGCAACGCTGCTAAGGCAAGAGCGTGAATTGAAACGTTTTCGTTCACAGTGTGGCGATTCGCGCGATACATCGCCTCTAAAATGCGATGGGCATGAGTTTTCAAAGACACAAATGATAGCTTCAGCGCGAGAGAGGGGGGGAGGCTAGTGCTGTTCAAAAGCCCCAATACGGCTGCGGTCTGCTTGTAGACCGCATCCACTGCCGCTACGTTCAGAAGGCCATTCATCAAGGCGGGTAGCAGTCTCAGAACTGGGGGGTTGCTGAGGTGGCATATACGAGGACCCAGCATGTACAAGGGTGCCCCAGTGTGAGATTTGTCCAGGGGATTTATGCCGTGATCAACTGCATAGCAGGCAAAGGCCCATGTATTGAGTAATGCTGGCAGTCTGCAGCAACTGATTAAAAACTCTTCCCTCAACGCGTTTTCTTGGCGTTGGTGTTCCAGTGTAGGAATGACGATATCGTGTGAGTCGCTGCCCTCGTCACATAAGGTGTTTTGATAAGTGTAGTATAAAATTAATAATGCGAGCATTGGCAATATCTCTGTGGCCTCACGAAGAATCACCACTAGTGAAGCTTCAGAGGAGTAGCCCAAATGCTCTAAAATCACGTCCACGCACAACGACTCTCTAGGAGGCCACAATTCTACTTTGGGGGGTTCGCTGGTGGAGGGTGAGGGAAAAGCAGCATCTACAATTTTCATAAGTGCCTCCTGCGCGTCCACAGCAACCGCCCGTGCAGTATGCAATCTAAGACTCTCATGAAGCGGTTTCTCAATACCATGTAAAACGTCCAGTCGACAGAGAAAAAGATTCACCGATACTTGCATAAAAGTATGAGAAAGCTGACGAAGGATGCGTTGAGGATAACTATGATTCAGGCTAAGCTTTACGCTCGTGCTGGACTGTTCACGACGCAGTAATGCATATACACTATGTTGCAGCTCTGTTAGTTGCGCCAACATGGATGCTGTGCTCTCACTATTCTGTAAAGTGTTAGCATTGGCTTGACATATTGCGGCGATACGGGCTTCGCAGGTCCGGCAGTATTCCCCCAAATTGTCCTCTGGTGCATGCGTGATTTGCTGATAAAGTGGAGCCACACCAGCAGTATCACACTCAGCGAGAGAAAACGAGAGTGTGGTAAGGTATAAAGGACTATCACCCCAACGACCCTGCGTAAGAACATGGTACTGGCAACCCTCTACGTGAAGTCCATACACTATATCCTCAAAGGGTACGACGCGGCACTTCTTTATAGCATTTGTCTGTTGAGTCTTGTCCCCCCTTACTTGGCAATGCAGTTGGATAGAGCCGTAATGCAACAAACATTTATCCTCGTGAGTATAGCAATAATACAGAGAAGGGACTCGACTATCGGCAAACAGAAATAGACCTTGCATTGCCACCGATACATCATCCATACATGCAAGCCTACCAAAGTGCATCAAGGTGAACTCAATATCCTCCGAAGCACTCAGATCATCCCGTCCTCCGTTCATCTCCGAACAACCTTCGGTACCAATGTCTTGGCAAGAAAACACACCGATGCTGCCATTATCATAGGCAATCCACATGTACTGCCTTCCAGACCAAAGCACACGAATCGGTACAGGCCGAGGCGTTCCAGACGAGTCTGGTAGGCTACCGGTCTTGAGGATGGAAAACCGAGCAGGCGGCCGCGGTAGGTTGCCACCTTCTATCACAGTGGCGGGCTCAGAAGCTGTGGGAACCCATGAGCGCACACCACACAACGCAACAGTGTGATCATCAAAGATAATAGTCACCTCCACCTCACCTTCGCGCCCAACTCCCATGCATGCGATGGTGCGATCATGAAACCGCATCCTCTGTTCCTTGCACGCCTGCGGTACGCAAGCGCACACAGTATCAAGCCCCACCACAAATACCGCCACATGAGCGCGAAGCTCAGCTGAGTATAAACACTGCATTAGGTAGCGGCCTTCATGTGAGTTCACCGTCGCATATGGTGACGTATGGATGCCAGACTCATCCCTTAGAGTGATCTCCGCCAATCGTTGGCGACCGGAAAAAAAAATAATTTTTTCATTAAAATCTGCAGCACTTTCAAAGTCGACGGCAAGGCGCTTTTCTGGCGGCACCGACCTTACACGGCAGGCTATGACACCATCCTCACTCACTGCAGCAAATAAGATGGACTCTCTTCTCCAATCCAGCTGGGCCTCAACTTCAAATAGTCCACCGAATGAATGGACCAGAACTCGCGATAGGCAGAGGTGAGGAGGAACATCAACAGAAACCGATGGTGCTTGCGGACAGTAACTAGTCCCATTGATGTAAGAGACGATATGGCGACTAGCCCCTGTCCCACTGCTCAGAAATGCAGTGCTCACGGGAGAAGCAGTAATGCGCCTCTTCCTGATCATGCAGAGTATAAAATTCTACCACGATAGTCGTTCCTACTGTCTTCAGCGACTCCTGACCTCGAATCAATGGTGGTCTCGTGTTTGCTTGTTATACTATTAAGATATATAAGAAAAACGATTACAACGCTTTTTCCCTCCGGCTACCCACAGAAACGATCCGTTGTGTGGGTCTCCTTTTCCTGCTATAAAAAAAAAAGACTTTAAAAAGATCAAATCACCGAAAGGAAGCAAACATAAGAAAATATGACTGTCAGAAAATCTAAGCAACATCAAAGAGTTTTGATCAACTCATGTAAAGACAAAAGCTATTCAACCAAAAAGGTTAATACGATTCTAAACTAATGATGCGCATACCAAGGGGCGTAAAACTACGACGGTTCATCCTTTTTGAACGACTAAACTTCAGATAAAAAATGCGTTTCATGTCAGCGAAGCCAATCTATGAGATTAAAGTCGCCATTACTATCGCTTCGTTGGCTTCTCGCACTGATGGACGCTAATATCTTGCGCCAATCGTAAAAAGACTTTTGCGCACTGAATAGCATCCCTGTACGCGGAGTGTGAACTCTGCATCCGCTGAATTGCCCCCGAGACCCCAAGATATATACTCACCTGATCCAAATTCGACGCGTATTTCGGATACAGCTGCCGCGACAACCGTTCGGTGCAGGTGATCGGGTAGAGGGGGTGCCATAACACCCTGTATCCAAGCCGCATCAGGCACTTCTCGAGGAAGGCACCGTCAAACTGCGCGTTGTGAGCAATCAGTGGCGGCAGAATAAAGGAATCTCGGGCTGCGTCCCCATCGCCTCTTCTGTGTGATGTAAGTGAATTCGGCGCCTCAGTATACGGTGCTTGAAGGGAGCCACAGAAATCCCTCAATTCCTTCGAGACATCTCTCCAGCAGGATGCTCTTCGAAGTGTCTCATCTGAGAGGCTGTGGACTGCTGCTGCAGCGCGAGTCACGGCCACTGTAGGGCGCACAAGGCGATGAAACGTACGACTCCCACGCACCCACTGACCAGTCAAGCAGCCTTCAGGGATGACGTCCTTTGTACACACCCCACACCCATTCCATCGCAGTTCGACGCAGCCTAGTTCTATGATTTGGTCAATGTTCGGGGATAATCCGGTAGTTTCAATGTCTAGTACAAGTGCACTGAAAGGCAGATTCAAGCCAGAACAATCATGTGAACAGAGCACTGTGTCTCTCAGTAAGTTTGGCAACTTGTGTAGGACATAATCCAATTGCCCACATAACGAGTTTTCTGATGTTCCTGATGGAGTCAGCCGCGACATGTGCACCTTGTGCAAAGCCTTGTTGAATTCAAAGTCCGCCTGGATCGTTCCTCGATATCGATAAGCGCCATCCCTATCATTTCCGGGGACACTGAAAACACAATTAGCGTTTCCTTGTTCCCTGGCTCCTACCTTTGATAAGTAATCAGCTGGGAATGATGTTGGCACGGCATTTGCTAAAAACCTCCCTATGACAGCATAGCCAACACGTTCCTCTTCTAGACGGCGCTGTTTCACACGCTGGCGCACTATCTCGTCCATGCTGAATGCACCACAAGTTTTTTTTAGAAAATGGGAGAAAAAGGAAAATGAACAGAAGATTAAATGCTTCAGCTTCAGTGCGTGTTCGATTCATTCTTGCCCTTGCAACAAAAATATTGGCATATAGTAAATAGAACTCCCCCAAAGCTTTCCATTTATATACTCTCTGCTATCGCACAGGGGTTAAAGTGGAGGGAAAAAAAGTTTTCCCCTTGCTGCTTCAGAAAACGTTTTTGTTTTTGACTAATATATATTAGCAAAAGATAAAAAAACGGCAAGCCATTAAGTCAAATAAATTGTCACCACCTGGGGTTGCTGGCATCGCCATGAAAAGATCATACCTAATCGAGGATCAGAGAGCCATGATAAACAAGTGTGAAGAGTTTGCAACAATTCTAGCTTCCAAGTGGAGATGAACCTATAACGCACGCCCCCGCCTTTCCTTTCTTCCTCTCGTGAATAGAGTGATAATGTGACTTGATTCAACAATACAAACCATTCCATAGGCATCGAAACACATCAAACAGTTCAACACAAAATAAACAATGAAATTTGAATTTAGAGGAGTACACTTTGAACATCACTCTCACACTCCTCCCACCTAGCCCTCTTAATTCGTTAGATTTAAAATTTCAGAAGCCGGTTCCCAATCACAAGCGCAGCTTCACCACAGATAGTCACAATACACATCCATTGGACATTCTTACAGGATATCAAAAAGAGGACTAAGATGTTTATCATCACCATAACTAACACAATCCCGAAGTCTAAGCGGGTGTTTTTAAAGTGAGCACGCCGCGCACCTCGATGATACCACAAACGTGCCAATAAGCTCACCTGTGTTAGGAGCAATGGCAAGGAGAACGCCAAAGTGCTGGTTATTAGCTTAATAACACCGGCAAAGCCCCTCCCGGCTCCCCAGCCTTCAGAAAGGAAAGACAACCACAGAACAGTGAGTGTGGAAATAATCATAAGAAAGTACGAGAAATGGGCCTTTTCAATCTTGTTGATAGTGTTTCTGTCATTTGTAAGCAGCGCCAACAACAGTGAGCAGGACGCGTAGAAACTAGGTTCACCGTTGTTGCACAAAAAGTTCAGAAGATACAGAATACTAACAGTAAACAAGACCGCCCCATTGCACAAAACACTGACTTGATTGACAATGAATGGCTTTAAAGGCGTGCACCCAGGAAGTAGCGGCCGCCCACTCAGCCGCGCCCTGAGCAAGATGACAAGAAACAAGTTAATCACGGCCATGATAGACATAAAACGCGTGCGACCCTCTTCATGCATCACCAACGCCAGGAACTCATCTCCTCCTACCGCCTGCAGGAGCTTCACACGACGAAGAGCGAAGAAGGATGCAACGATTCCACAGACAGAAAGTCCATAAAAAATCCAGATCTCTATGGACTGCAGCCGCCGATAATGAGCAAAGTCCAAAACAACAAGGTCGAAAAACACTACCACACTAACGGTGCAGAAAAGAGGCACTGTGGAAATTGGCAGTAGGGTAGTAGTAATCCCAAAGGCCAGTGCAAGTGAGGCACAGGCCCAGTACAAACCGCGTAGCACTTCCGGTAATCTCTGCAGAGGTACGTAGCAACCAAAAATTAAGAAGAAAATGCCCAACACCGTGGCGTATCGTCCCCTATCTGCATAGCATAGTTCATACTCAGAGGAAAGGCTCCGGTGGTTCGTGATGCGTGTAGGCTGCACCACCAGCATCATAACACCAACGATGCCGCTAAAACGCATCAAAGATACCAAGTGATTGATAAAATCGTAGCGGGCTTTATGTCTAGATAAAAAGCATAGCGTTAAAAGACAAAATGTCAAGAGACCAGTGCCGAGTGCAATATGAGGCAGCTCGTCAGAGCCGATGTAGCTCCGTGTGAAGAATTCGTATACCGCCCGCTGGAGGTTTCGAATGGTCAAAAGAGACAAAAGCCCCGCAGAGACTAGATAGCCGTAGATAAGTAGCTGCGCGTTTCGCACTCTGGCGCGTCGCCTTCCTTCAATCTCAAAGATGGCGATGATATAACTAGAAAGGAGAGCCACCCACCAGCCCGCGTTTATCTCAACCATGCTAATGGTCGAAACGTATGAACTCCATTCCATGTCGGCCTGATAATAGGAACCCGTTACTTCGACAAGAAACACAAACACCTTCGCGACATAAAAAGAGGCTAAAAGAGCGGCTGGTGCGACAGTTAGAACTTCGTTCTTAAACAGACGCCAAGCCATGAGGATACCCACGCCACTTGTAAACCCCACCAGCACCACCGGATAGGAACCTTCCTCTTTCTGGGAGTATAGCACCTCCTCCACAAAAGATAGTTCCGCAGCATGCAGGGAAAGAAAGATCGTTAGTAAGAAATTGCTCTTTTGGAACGAAAAGGCGAAGCTTACCCATCCCAAAATGTAACAGAGCAGCACCGCAACAGCCACCGCCGACGTTGGCACTATTACGGAGCTCCCGAGAACATGCAAATCTAACACTACAAAGGAAAATGTACGATACATCCACCACAACAACAGGAAACTCGAAAAGATAATAAAATATGCTATCGGGCCAGCCGCACTGCGATCTAACAAAAACATATGAAATCCAAAAACGCTTAATACACCCATGAGGTAAAAAATTCCAGGAGCCCCAGTTAGCAAGCAAAAGATCAGTGTGACGATCATAGCACTGACAACAGTAGAAATACGCTTCCTTAAAGGATGCTTCACCTTAGTACTATCTCCTGCGGCATCCGCATCAAGCAGCAGCTTTGCTTGAATAATCGCGTATAGCAAAATGTACAAAGCAAGCAGAAGCACGAAAAAGTTATACGGATATGGGATGCCGTCAAATAGGTATTTGTAACGGCAGCGGACGAGGCGATAAGCCATCCAGTTGATTACCGAAATACAAACAATAACTACAATTTTGAAACGGTGCACGCGAATCAGGACCTCCAGGCCATATGGATCATATGCAAGACGATGGTAATCATCCTCTTCATTTGCATCCTTCTCTGGGACGAGAAACCAGAAGGTGTGACTTGGGAACGCACAGAGATAGCCGGCGCCACTGCATAGCAAGCCAAAACAATTGAATAGGTTGGGAATAAGGTGATCAAAAAAGTTGCTCTGCAAAGTCGTATAGACTGCGATGGGAAGCGTGAGGAGTAAAAGTGTGAAGATAATTGACTCTGTGCGTTCATTTAGCTGAACAGGTGCTAGATCTGTTCCTTCAGCGGTGTACTCGTTTGTGTTTTTTTTAGCATCTGCATTGTTGCTAGAAGCTTCGTCTTTCTCTTTCCTATGCTTTCCATTACTAAGCCCAGCGACCTTATCGGTCTCTGCAACAAGCTGACGGGCACAGATAAAGCTGCTATTGATTGGCCGATAAAAATAATAGCTCTCTGCACACATCACTACTAAAAGCCACAAAGGTGCGCGACGAGAGCCTCCAAGCGCGATGATGCCGGTAAGAAGAAAGGGAAGCGCCAGTACTGGTGTTAGACCTATGACAAGGCGATCGAGTATGCAAATAAGCTCAGGGTAGTTATCCTGTAGATAACGAAAATGCAAAGCTGCTGCTGCTGTGGCCAACACCAGCAGCGCACCAAAGTCCAGTATCATGAAAATAGGTCCAATGCTTGTGGACATTGTGTGCAGGTTAGACAAAAGGAGAGCAGCGCTAAAAAGTAAAACTGTTCCAAGAAGTGCAGCAATTGTGCTACGCGTGAACCCCAGGTAATCGAGTATATATGTGACGACAACACAACAAAGTAAAGTCGCCATTGAAAAGTACGACAGTAGAGGAACCATGCCAAAGAAAGAAGCGCCAAAAAGGAAGATCAACTGTTTGGTGTACAGAGGCGATCCCCTGACAAACTCGATCTGTTGGGGAACCCGTGGTGGTGGTAGCTGTTTGGTTGGATGTCTTAGGGTGTGCCTTTTGAAAACGGCGCTGGTGGGTGGAAATGGAAGGCGGTTATCATTAGCATCGGTTAGGTCTCCGTTATGCATCACCATGATGTCTTCGTTGCGGTATGTGGGGTCTTGGGGCCTATTACCAAGGGATTCTTCTGTGTGTTCACGTTGTAGCTGCCACGCCGCCGAGGACTCTAAAGCAGCATGCACCACTCCATCGACCCTTTCTTCCTGCGGCAACTGTCCTTCAAACTGAGAAAACTGTACTGGGGGAATTTTTTTCTGCTCATGGTGCAGCATAGTTACTTGGATGTATCCACTATTTGCATCCGGGGTTGAGAATGAAGCACTGTGATGAGAATTTGTAAAAAAAAATGGCGCAGACTGAGAGCTTACAGCATCCCCGTCTGGGGAATAACCATGGGGGTAGTGTGAATACCCAGGGCTGTTATGGGGTGCACAATGAGCTCTCCCATCAGGGTTATATAGTCGCCCCTGGGATAATTGCGAATTTCGAGGATGCACGGGAACCTGGTACTGTAAGTTGTGTGGAGTAAGTGGCGGTGGAAAGTTTAAATATAAAGGTGCCTCATCTCTGCCATTATCACGACCATTATCCGACATGTCTCAAGCTAGTATTACAAGATTTAGATCCTAGAGTGTGCAGGTATGTGCAAATATATATGTATAGAGAGAGAGACAATAAACACGCAGCTAAGTAAAATCCTTGCGAAAAAAATGATTCCTTTTGATCCACACCTTGTGCAACCTTATGATTAGAAGTGATATAAAAGGCAAAATATAGATTCTGAGCAAGACTATAACAAGCGAAATTAACACGGTGGCTGCACCAATCGTGATGTATGATACAAAAACACACAAACTATGTTGGTGTTAAAATCAATAGAATTAGTGAAAAAGAAAAATGAACCAGTTTACTAGGTTAGCAAGCTTACAGGAAAAAATTCATAAAGACTTCGATTGCACTATCACTTTCAATTGCCATCCAGAGCCTCTACCTTCCAGAAGTCTCGTCCATCTCTCATTCGCACGTATACAGTATCACCGTCTGTCAGTACTAAAAGCACTTGTCATTAAGGCTCTGTTTTTTTTCGCATATTTACTTACTTTATCTTTCATGGCACAGCTATTTGCTACTCCATAAAGTTCATTTTATGATTCACTCGCGAAACGTCGTCGCTTGAGCTCCTTCATACGCTGAAGCTTTTGGATTGCATTGATATTTTCAACCGCAAAAGATACGATCAGACGCCTTTGGTCACCAAAAACCGTGGGATTATTGTTAAACATCCGCAGAGCATGTAACGCAATGTTATGATTCACGAACTCAATAAACCCATAACCACGAGAAACTCCAGCGGAGTCCCTCAAAACCTTAATGTTTTTGATAGGGCCGTACTTTCCAAACTTCTCCCGCTCCATATCTTCCTTGTGCGTCTTAAGGTATTCTCGCACCTGCTGAGCAAAGAGGCGACGCATATCATTCTCTGTCATTGTACGTGGAAGGTTCCGCACGCTTAGCCTAGTCTTGCTAACGAAGTAGTTGTTATTACGGAGTTGCAACTTGCGCGCCTCGTAGTCGTCTTGAATCATTTGTAAGTAACGTGGGTGGAGACTCCGCGCAGCTGGAGTGTTGGGCAGGATAAGGCCTTCTTGGAGTAAATAAAGATTTCGCGGATCATCGGCAGCAACCTTTGTGCGTTTCTTCTTCTTTTCTAGGGCACTTGCCGCCTCCTGTGTATCAGAGCGTGTTAGCACACGATGCACCGTGAATTTCGACTCCCGCAGCTCCAGAAAGGGATCCCGAGTAATGCAGCTGTCGGTTCGAAGCTTAAACCTCAGGCGTTTAGCTTGGTGGTGAGACATCCCCACCGTTTTTTCTTTAAGCTCCTCTCGACTCGATGACGACAACTCTCGAGCGTTCTGCTGAGCGAAATCGAAGATTTTGTCAGCCATTTCGGTAGAGCCACAATGAAGAAAACCTGTCCCAGTAAGCATTTTGCTGAGGCGATTGCGTACCAATAGAACACGTTTGATGGGACCAAAATGGTGTGCGAAGTAATTTACGAGTTCGTCCTCGTTGGTATCGAGGGGAAGGTTCTTTAGAAAAAGTTGTGTCTTAAGCGGATCGCGCTGGTTCAGGAGCTCCTGCTTTTCCTCATCAACATCGCTTTGAACTTCAATATCGGGATCCTCACCACCCTCATCATTGAACCCCTTCTCAGTCTCTGCGTCAGTACCGCTGCGCTCCCTCTTACGACCTGGCAAGCTACTATTAGTTCTGCGATCAGACCTTCTTTGGGGATCCGTAGACACGCGATCACGGCTACCTTTTGTATATGTCTTGGCAAGAGCTACTTTCCAGTTAGGTTTCTTCCTCTCAAGTTTTGCTTTCATCTTCTTGCGAATCCGCTGCTGCGCCTTTTTCTTACGAAGCGCTGAGGGCGTCGGACTACGTTTCACGGTTCCCTTTACCATCACTGTTACGAGTTCTCCTTCCTAAGTTTAATGTGAGGATGTAGATTCAAATATACATATAACAACTTTTACCAAATATGCAGACTTGTAGTACAGACCCAAGTCTCATTCCAATTTACTTCTTTGTCACAGAAAGGGAAAAAAAGAGAAAAGATACTGAATGGTGCGGCGGTAAGAGAGGTCAGGGAGAAAAAACTCTAAACTGCATGCTGCTCCGCTTTAAAAAGAAAAGAGAAAAGGTTTATTTTTAGGTAAAAAATCTGCTTATCCCTTTATTTACGTCCTTTTTCCCTCCTACAAGGGAAACTAGATACAACTAAGACCGCTATCAGAAGTAAAAAAAAGTATCAGACACATAATATCATTTTTTATCGTGATAATTAATAACGATGGCCTTTGTACGAAAAGGAAAAGGGGGCAAAGGTGTGTGAGAAGAAAAATTATAAGTAGGTTGAACATCCAAGCACGGAAAGAAAACTAAGAAAAAGTAGTACGCTACCTTTTGTGTGTATAAATTTCCTCCTGTTACCCCTGGATGGACTTCCACAGGATGCTCTTGGGGCTAACCGCCTCTAAGATTTTCACACTGTCTCCTCCTTTTACATCTCCACCAGCCTGGATAGTTTCTGGATACGATTAAGAAGTAAATCACCATTCTTTATGATGTTGTGATAGTCAAAATTTGTGGTATTGCCACGGTAAGTTGTGATGCTATTGTTCACCCGATCCATTTTGCAAGCAATGCTTTCGTTAGCAATCAAGGTGCAAAGCATCTGATCCAACACCGGCAAGGGAATCCCAAAGGTAGATGCCATGGACTGTAGGGTCACACTGCTGTATGAGTCTAAAAATTGGGTAAAAACCAGAACACGAGTTTTTCGAAAAAAGTAATTCACGTGTGGCGACACATAGACAATAAGTCGCTGCTTCTGGCAGACCACATCCAAGGCGGGAAAAACGTCTCGATACCTACAGGCATGGATCGCATTCACAAAATCACAAAGTTCTGGCAAATCCGCACTGATTACCTCAGGGCTGTCTATGATGCGCCTCTTCAGCTCTGAACGACTAAGTACTGGCAAGCTGGCAATCACGGTAATAAAAATAAAGTCTTTAAAAGAGATCAGCTCACCAGAAGCAAAAGTAGTGATACAGTCAAGCAAAAGCTCTGAACCGCGACGAAAGTCGCGAACCATTACATGGTAAACGCCTTCATACACCTTCAGGCGATTGCGCCGCTCCCAGTCACCACCTATCATTAGACGATGCGCATCTCGGATGCCTTTGGCTGCGACTTCGTTATCAGAGAAAGCAATTCCGAGACGAATTCGCTGAAAGTACAGGTCCAGTTTACGACCTACCGCAAGCGTCTTGGCCGCACATTCTTCATTGAATTTAAGGCACGCCTCAAAATCTCCGATGCGAGCGTAGTGGTCACATTTGGCCTGTAACACATCCCGTACTTCTGTATCACCAAGATTTTCTTGGGCATCCCTCAGCTTCGCGTCGATAGCCTCCACCTTTGCGGTGTTGATGGCGTCCATCTCCTGAAGTTTGGCCTCGTCCAGGGTCAACTCCAAGGCTTCTCGCACAATACGCAGGTATGGGGCCATGTTGTGCTCTAGCATCTCCTTATTCATTGCTGACATGGCCGCTTGCCGTTCCTCTGATGTAGAATACGGTGAGGTCAGTGTGTGCCGTGCATACAAAAGAGCTAGAAGAGGGTCTACAGGAACCTCTTTTTCGAATCCCTCAAAGGTTAGTTCAGTATCCTCTTCGTTGATCGCCTTGTTAGCCTCGCTTTCATGGAGCCTGCCGCCACTCCCTGGTAGCAATTCAGATGCTGACATTTGTTGTTGCTGGTTTTATGTGGAAAGGCCAGTAAATATAAATAGCTGCAGTTAATATGATGATAAGAAATTGTTGCAGAAAGTGAAAGAGACAAGATACTAGCGATAAAGCTTTTAATGAAAGAGAAAGGAGAAAAAACTGCAGAAACTCCAAAGGAAAATAATGAAAGTTGATTGATTATGATATCTCTCTAGATACAGACAAATGGTTTGCAAAAGGACGCTAAAAGCGATTAAATGTTTGATTCATTTCAGAAGCGCTCAGTTCTGTGAACGGGATGTCAGTGTGGCTACGCTGGATAGATTGGAGAATGCTGAACTGGAAAAGCAACTCCCTTCGCACACTCCCGCAGTGGTATCCTTTGTTCAATTTTTTTTCGATCCGTCTATAGAGATTTCAATTGGGTCACCCAGAGAGGCAAATTCCGTGCCATACAAACAAGGCGTGGCACCGAGCCCGATGACAAGCATGCGCCGTACGCTGGGGCCTCGCAAGGTTGCTTTGCCTGGCCCACTTGCCTCGTCCATAGGAAGATCTTAAGCTCCCCATGTGCCTCATTAAGTGGTACCAGTGGGCGTTCGCGACACACTGCTGAAGCACGCGGGACAGGCGCAATGAATAAAGGCAGAGAAGTCAGGTGCGGGAAAGAACGATCATGTCTGAAGCATATCCCGGAATATCATGTGCACATTACCTTGTCTTCTGCTAACCTTGTCAACATTTCAGCTGAAGAAATTCATCGGTGGGATTATACCGTCCAATTCCCACAGATGACGCTCCTGAGGAGCGTCTGTCTCTCGGCTCGCGAATCACCTCCTGCTCTCATTCAAAACATTTCTTCATGGAGGAGATGCTCTTTGTGCGTTTTTTATGGGTACACCTTGAAGGTAAAGAAGCATACCTATATCTCATACTCTCTTTTTTGTGCGGCATCCTCACTACGCAAGTCCCAGAACGTTTCACCAGGGAAGGCTAGTATCAATAGGCACATCTTGGCCTCTCTATCTTACTCTTCCCCATCCCACCCCACACTATGCTACCTTGTCGTATAGAGTTGCTTCTTGTAAAAATTTTCCGAAACTTAATACAGAAACCTCAAAGGATAAGCAAAATGCACATATACTTCGATAACAATAGTATATAACGCGTTAAGCACGTGGCGCAGAGATATCCTTGGGACTTTACGATCATTCATATAGGGCATCTGAAATCTACGTAAGTGAGAAAGTGTGTCATCTAGAATCATGAATCATTGATTTTACAGAACTCAACATCCGAGAAGTAATAGTAAGCTCTCCCTCCGTGTGAAGTCTCCAAATAGAATTCCAATCGAGCTCACTGGAGTCAATACAACACACAGCGGTGGCCGCATTAACAGCAATGATGGTCGCGATTTCAGAATTGAAATCCTTCGCATAAAAATAATTAAGTTCTCGGTACAGAAAGTTAAATTCGTCATTTCCTTCAGCTAATGTTTCACCCATGAACTTTGATTCCTGGAGAATGCGACAGCAGCGACATCAGTCTCAGTATCTACAATTTCTATTAGGAAAAAATAACATCAAAAAAAAACATCTACTATTTAATGAAACCTTATGTCTAAACCTTTCCCTTTTGATATCAAAATCAGAGTGCTCAATTGACGTGGGTTCCAAAGACAGCAGGGGATGCACTGGAACATTTAGACCACCATGGTGATGGTATGTCAAAATTAGGGGTTAGTCGCCTCCCCTCGGCTCATTTACCATGAGACTTGCCCCTGGACTTCCACGCGAAGAACCGTTGGCAAGTACCGAAGCCTTCATAGCACCACTAGCATTCAAATGTAGCTATCGAAATCCATATATCTATCATTATAGTCTAAAGTGTATAAACTCTGGAAGGTAGTCTTGCCTGATTTTCAATACTATTACATCTTACCATTAATTAAAGTTAAACAATAATACTCATCGGGAATAAAGAACTCGAATACAACTATTACAAGAAAATAGTAGATTATGGAGAGGACAAATACTCACACATGATAATGCGATCCCATGTCCGACTAACCATGCTTTCTTGCAAATCATTCTCTTATCAGAAAATCTATATTGTTAAAAGTTCTCGGAAATGAAAAAAACAAACTGATGCAGTATCATAAGATTAAAACGCTTAAAAGGACATATTGAAGCATAGAAGACGAAAAAGTTCCGTAGCAGCAGTTTTGCTATTTCAGGTAAGGTGTTTATACTGCATCATCAATTTCTCCCTCTAGGTGACGCTTGAACAGGGATCGGCGTGTTTTGCAACCTTCAGCCTTCGACAGGGAGCCAAAAGCAGGAATTGAATTGGATCCTGAATCAATATTGCGCTCTACAATATCCTTTATGGAAAAAGATTCTCTTCCTGGAACAATGGCATCGTGAATAGAGTCTTTTTTTGGCCGTGGCTCTTTTGGCATCACTTCATTCTCGATAGATTTATTATTCTGCATGGAATTTGAGGCCGAAAAGATCAACGAAGTAGAAGAATTATTCGTATGATCTGCGTACTCACTAGTAAAGGTAACTCGTTTGCATGTTTTTGGTAATGAATCTCCCTTCCTCATTATTGAGTGCTCGGATAGTGATGATGCCTTCTCTATTAACGATAAGGGCGTTGTACCTGTCAAGTTCATACCTGGCCCCGCGCTGCATCCCTTGAAGCCTATATCAGCGGGAGAAGAAAAGACACACTTGGAAGATTCAACCCTCAACTCTGGTGACACACGACACTCGCTTTGGTCATGCTTCGGTGATCGTGTTGTGTGCCGTGTGCATTCTGATGCTTCATGAATTCGCAAAGACGGGACCTTTTTGGACGATGCATTCCGACTCACCTCAGCCTTAATTCGTCTTTCTTTTTTGGCAATCATACGAGCAACCAGTACTCGCTCAACAACCTCATCATTATCAAGCACGTCGCCCAATTCCTTCTCAAGCTCCACCAGCTCCTCCTCCGTGAGCTCATCTTGCTCATCAAACACAGCAAGCTGTGGATCTTCAGTAACAGCGCGGTCAATGAGGTCTTGAACAGCAGGCCCTTCCCTTGCTATATTCTCGAGTGAACCTTTTGGAATCACGTTGTCACTGCAGGGCCCATGAGACGACATTAACGCCTCTGAAAGACACTCCTCCGTTTTCTTCATCAGCTTCTTCATAGCAGTGTTGGCCTCGGGAATCTCTGAAGCAAACATGTCTTGCCGCTGTTGGAGGGTCTTCTTCTCTTCCTCCAATACTTGAACTTCACGTCTCAAGAAGTCAAGACGGCGTTCTGTTATGGATATGGCTTGCATAACACTTCTTTCGGCAAACCAATTTTCGCCAAGCAATACAAGTATATTGTTAGTGCTAATGAGCTCGGCATCAAAGTAAGCTAAACCTCCCGCAACGGGTGCTAATACTTGTCTGCGACATTGTTTAGTAATTGAATTGAGTGTCTCTTGGAGTTTAGTGTATTCATGTAGCTTATCCCACGCGCCCTTAAGTTGAGATTCATTCCTTTTAATAAGGTACTGAAAGAGCCTCACTCCAGTAAGGACTTCACCCGGATCAACAGCCTCATATTGCATGGATAACAGGAAAATATTTGCCTAATGTTTAGTTGACGTACTCGCAGTGTATTTTTTATTAAAAAAAAAAGGAAACAAGAGGAATATCTTGAAATTTTCAATAAGAATATCTCGATATTAATTATTTTTAAAAAAATGTGACAAAACCCACAACACCCTCTCCAGAAAGCACATTAGACCATTCTTGTTGTGTTATTCCAAACAAACATAGCTATGCTTGTAGTTGGCTAGACATATTGACATAAAATCCCTGTCATGCTGCATGCCCTGTGGTAGATGCAGCAACTAAAGTATTTAAGCGGATCTTTTCGGCCAGACGATTACAGTCGTCAAGCAAATCATTGTCATAAGGCGTGATGCGGAGCGCAAGTTCAAGAAACTCATGAGCTTTGCGATAGTCCTTAAGACCGCAGTGGGTTGCGGCCATCCGCACATAAGCTTTGAGCAAAAGATAAACATGGGAACTGTTTTGGCTCAACTTCGCGGCTGCAGCGCGACGTTCCCGGGTCATCCGATCCCGGACGTAGTCCCTCCTACCCCCCTCACGACCAGCTTCAACCCCCTCAGACGATGTGAAACGATCCCCTTCATCCTCCTCATCCTCCAACTCAAAAATCTCATCGTCGCTATCGATATCGTTACCGTCCGAAGACAAAATGCCAGGTTGATTCAACGCAGCAGCGACCTCCCTACAAAAATGAATGATGCGCTCGCACTCCTCTGCAGCCTCGTGAAAACGCCCTAGAAGCAGTAAGCACACGGTTAGGTTGCTACGAGCATGTACACGATAAGGGTCTTTTATAAGAATCTCTCGGTACAACTCAGCAGCGGCTGTGTAGTCTTGACGATAGTACAGTGAAGCTGCCTTCTGTAATAAGTTATCCAATGGATCCTGAGCAGTGTCGATGGTCAACCCACGCTCCACCATGAGCTGTTCTGCCACCTGTAAATCTGCAATGATGCCATCGTTGCTATCAGGGTCACGATAGGCAGCCGCCATGCGAAGGTCTGTGACACCACGTGCAAGGTCATCATTCCAGCAATATGCAGCTCCACGACGGGCATGCAAAGTCGTTAAAAGATAACGATACCGATCCTGTGCAATCTCGCTCGCAGGCATGTTTCCCAATAACGCAAGGGCCAAGGTACAGTCTTCGATGGCCCGCTTGTATTCGGCCATGCACAGAAAGCAAGCGGCACGATTCATAACACATGTTAGAAAGACACCATCACGCTTAATCGACTCCGAGTAAGCGTCAGCGGACAGCTTCCACTCATGGGCACGGTAGTGTTTGTCACCCTTTTCCTTCCAGAACATAGGACTATCCTCGATCGACACAGGCTTGTAGCGGCTTTTGCGGTAGTACTCCTCGTCGCCACGAGAGCGGGTCGGCAGGACAAACATCTTGGGTGTAAAGTCGATGGTCACATTGACAGTGCTGGGCTCACGCACTGGTGGGGGATTGTGATTCGCCTGAAATTCTGTAGGAAGTGCCGTCGCCGAAGCATGTTCCTGCACTAAGGGCAAAATGCATCCAGGTGACCCTGGTGGGGCTTGACAGGGCTTCATCGCCTTTGGTTTCTGATCATCTTCCCAGGCATAAAGGTCCTTCTCGGCAGCAGCCTTTTCAGAGTTAAAGCGTTCCTCAATTACCCGTCGCTGCTCCTTTTCCACCTCCCACTGCGCCTCAGTCATGCGTCGGTTCTCAGTCTCGCGCTGCTTCGCTCGGAGCTCAAGCATTCGGTTATAATTCTCCTCTGCCCTATGCATGGAGTGCATGCGGCGCTGCAGGATCTCCTTTTTGGAGACTTCTGATGAAAGACAGAGAGTTTCCCAAACAAGACCTGGTTCTACTTTTTTCAGTCTGAGGTGCAATAGAAAGGGGTTGTTGCTATCAAAATAATGTACACACTGATCTACAACAACAGCGTGAAGAAGATCAAGTGTGAGCAGGTAGGTCGGAGCCGCGTTAACCTTGATGAAAATATCAGAAACGAACACATCAACGGCATTTCTCTTGATTCCCTTTATCGCGATACGTAGCAGCACATCCTCCACCGTTTGTTCCCATTCATACTGAGGTCTAATTGGCATAGGACGGATGAATAGCGAGATACAAGACTTTAATAAAGAAAAAAAGTTAAAGAATGTGAGGAATGGAAAAAAACGAATAAGGTTCTAAGCTACCTTTATATGACCTTCTTCAGTTTTCATAAATTAAAAAAAACTTTTTAAGATACAAGGAAAAAACAAAAACCAATTGTTAAGCAAATAAAAAGTGAAACCCAACACTCTGGAAAAGAACCGTTGAAATTTATAATATACAATGTGGTTGCTTTTTGTATGATACAAAGTAAACAATAAAGCGTCACCTAAGATAAACGCATGATATAATGCCTTTTTGGGCATTTCATGGCAACACTCATTAGATAATAAGCAAAGTTACCGACAAAATGACAGATAAGATAAATGTATATATTTCTTTTAGAGAAACCTCACAAAATTAAACAACAGTAAAGGAGGATAAAAAAAAGAGTATAATAGAAATTAAAAAAAAATTGGAAGCAATACTACAAGTAGCATCACGAAGTGCAGAAATGTATCCCTCAAATTCGATATAGAATAAAAAGGTTAATACAAGAATGACTATGCTGTTAGTCACCGTATTAACATTTGTATAAATACTCACAAAACCTTAGAGGTGAATGAAAATTATGTTTATAGTATCTACCTAACATTATTCTCACCCCTTTCTTCGGTAGGGAGTGATACAGAGACTTTGTCCCCTTTTTTTTGAAACACAGGTAGTATGATTTGCTTGACGCGATGCTTATGTTGATTCTTTAACTGATGTGCTGCATTCGTTACTATTTTACTCGCTAAAATGCCTGTACTTTGCCATAAGCATTGCAGTGAACCTCGGATTTTCGCGATCCGGTATGTCCAGGAATCACTCAAGCCCACATGACTATCTACACCGGCAATGACGTGAAACACTGCGAAACCATCCTCTAGACGTTCGTGGCTGCCAAATGCACCTGGAGATTGCTCAGCAACTCTATTAGTTGTGTTCTGTGAATTACATTGAAGAGAATTTAGTTTATTATCACCAAGAACCACAGGATCACTATTCCCCTTACAAATCGATGACGACATGGAAAATAGAACTCGGAATTTGTCACCATCTACGCTACGCGTGATAAGACGCTGACGTGAACGTTCCTGGTCAATTTTTTGCCGCGCCTTACACACGTTCCAGCAAGAAACACAAATAGGCTCCCACCCAAGGCTAACACGCTGGTTGCCTAAACACACGTCAGGCCCTAAGCCGCGTTCTCGACAGCACTGTGGGCAGTAGACCTGACCACATCGCCCACACCTAATGCGCATGACGGTTGTCGAGAAAGTAGTACCGCATGTGAAGTCAGCACAGCGAAGGGTGTAGCGTGGGATGAGCAGAAAATTAGCAGGATTCTCAATGTGGTCACTCAGTGCAGATCGCTCCAGACTGTTAAACGCAGGTAAAATTGCATTTACCTCCTTTAGCAGCACCAGAAGTTGCTCTATAGTGGGAGTGAACTGTGCAATGACCGCAGTAATTTCCTGTTGGGCTTCCCTGTAGATCATGTGCCTGAGGCCCAGCTCATCCCTTTCTCGAACCTTATTTAAAAGAAGAATGTTTCGCACATATCCGCTCAATAACTCTATATCAGATCTATCTTCCCTTCTGGCGCTAGTGTGTGTACTTTGTGCATGCCCTTTGTAAAAGTCACTCGCGGTATGGATGGTTTCTGTGGGAGCTAGGGCAAATTCATGATTACTCAACCTTTTTTCCACGGACTGACTGCCATCCAATTGCCCCACAGAGCCCATATCACCATTGATTAGATTCAAAGAAAACGGTGGAAGATGGGATATATCATTACCCTGTAGCTGGTCCATGCCATTCCTAGGCTTTTCTACAAAAATTTGAGCATCGAAGTGCTCCTTCGGAGTCATTGGCGCAGTAGCCTCCCCTTTAGACAAATCGCGAACTTCAGCATTATCCTCGAACAATAACCGTTTCTCAGCTCGTGCAATTGCCATTCTAGAAAACCGACAAAAGGACCCTGTGGACTCGTCATCACCACCAGAGCTCATAGTATCAACACCAATAGTATACGACACTTCAACCGTACACGCAGGTTCAGCTAGTGGAGTGCTCGAGGTATCGATATTTGGTATGTTCTCAGTTACATTTTTATCAATCGTCCTGGAGTTAGGAAAAAGTGGATCCATTGGCGTAATAGCAACTCTGGGAGGCTTACAGTCTCCTATGCTTCCTAATACTGATTTGTGCGTGACGGACGGTGGAGCCACGGAGGCGCCGTGAGTAGAGTAGGTATTGATAGTTAACTTTTTTTCATGAACCGATGTATCATGTATTTCTTCTAAATCCCACATATACTCGAAATCGTCAACCTTCTCTACCGCGTGCATACGTCTCAGTGTTCTGAGCTGCGTAGGTGTCAAGGCTGTAATAAAGGCATCGACCTCAGCATCGGTTACAAGTGGGAGTGGGTTAGCGATCAAATCCTTGAGGACACTTTCAGGATCCTTGGGTTGCATGGCTGAATGCTTCAGCTGTTTCTCATATTGTTTTAATCTCTCTTCAGCCCATTCATCTCGTGTACAGCGTTGTTCTAGCCTATGGAGACGCTGAAAGACATCTAGAGATTGTTTCAAGACAGCATCCGACGAGGAAAAATACTCTGAGAGTCGATCATGTAAAAACATTGGATCCCTCAATGAGTCAAGTTTGACAGACTCAAACACTACAAGCGGGTGGGGTTCAGCAAGTGCCGCTGCAAGCGAGGACATCTTTGAATCCTTGAATGGCATTCCGATACACACACACTTGCAAGGGAGAATATAAAGAGAAAGGAGTAGCTAAAAAAGGGAGAATAAATGAACTAATTTTTCTTGGAATAAAAAGCTAGATCCATAAAGTGGAAAAATGGTTATTGAATAAAGATTAAAAATATAGAGACTAACAAAGTAGACACATGTAATAGAGAAATGAACAGGATTGGGTATGCACATATAAAGGATATAGAACTGACAGTATATATATATGTGGGGGGGGAGAAGCTAAACTATGTTACTGCAAACATTATCCAGGGGCACAGTCATTTGATGTTATATATATATATTGGGAGGGAGAAGGGGGGGGGGGGGAGTTGCTATATACTTTTAAAGTGATGATAAAAAGTCTTAATAGAACCCTGCCTCCGTTCTATTTAAGCTTATTTGTCTAGGCATACTTTAGATGCATATAGAGGAGTAGAAACTCAAACGCACCTCAAACAAAATATTCTATGAAAAGGTGAACACACGTCATCGTTGGTGATCTGACAATATATGTCATAGAACAATTAAATGAGGGGTAGATAAATATTAAGTGACTCACTATTTCGTGAATTTATTTATTTATTTACTTATTAGCTCATAAAATGCACTGGGGAAAAGATATGAGTAGTAAAACAATGCACGCGCGTTAATCCCGCGTGTAGCACTTTGATAATCGTTCGAGATTTCTCGCTTAAAAATGAACTCTTTAAATTCCTTCAATCTTCCTCTAAATTTATTTTCTTTCAATATTCCGAACCAGAAAATGAGAGTCATTCACTTTTGAATGAACATTTATGATCCAATTGGCATAAAAATATTTCCCCCATACTTGAGAAGCACGCAAGTATATCTACTGGCACACTCGGAGCCACCCTTTTGCTAGGAAAACATACGTAAAACGCTCACAACACAGTATATAAATGGAAATACTAAAAGAATACCATCTATACGATCCAGGATGCCACCATGACCAGGTATGATAATGCCTGAATCCTTGACTCTTGCGACACGCTTCAGCAGTGATTGCAACAGGTCCCCTAACACACCTGCAACACCAACACAAATTCCAAGAACAAACCACAGAGAAATGGATTGAAACTTCGGTGACATTACACTGGCGTCAGGGTAGTCGACGATAAAACGATAACAGATGTATAAACTTGCCGTGAACGAGATCGCGTTCACGATGACACCGGATACTGCCCCCTCAATCGACTTGTTTGGACTAATTGCTGGGCATAGGGAATGTGGAGAACTCAAGATATAACGAACAAAAAATGATGAATCTGACCTAGACTTCTCCCTATTGTCGCCTCCTTGTTTACCAGATTTGCATTTAGTGGAAGCTTCCTTATAAGAATGGCATTCACTGGAATCTATACTCGAGACACAATCATGAAGGTGGTTATACTTCGTCCTAAGTGTCCAGAGACCTTTCCCAACGAGCAACGCGGTGATATCATTAAAGAAGTTGCTGATCAGGACACTAGCAGACCACGGCAACCCCAGTCGCGGCATATCATAGAGAAACAAAAAGTAGACCAAGCCTGACAGCCACATAACACCAAACAAGTCGAGGCAAATATCAAGAAACTGCTCTGCAGGTTGTTTTTCAGCAATTGCATGTAGTTCTAAGGACAGAAAGTAGCGCTGCTGTGCTTCGTTATAAGCCTTTTCAAGGTAAAAACTAGGATCACTACCCTTGGGATCAATGGTTCGAGGGCAGAACTGGGAAGTTAACCGCTTCACAGCCCATTCCATCCTATCCTCTAATCTGGTCTGAGCCATGAGTGTGACACACACAAAAATAAGCATGTACAGTGCGAGCACAGTGATGTAAGCAACCTCGCAGTATGATGCGGCCAAAGCCAGGAGGGACCATCCAAGGTATTTGAAAATACTATACACACTCAGCGGTGACACAGGAACAGCGTACTCTTTAGGAACGAACGGTATGTCATCTGGTAACGACATCAGTGGGGACAGACACATTGAACTACATGGAGAACTGTCACTGCCGTTATAATTGATCCCGCGTTCAACAGAGTGATCCCCCTTGCTAAGTTTCCTATGATGCACGCCTTCAAGTTTTATCGGGACAGTTCCATTCAGAAACTCATTAGGAGCGAGGAGAGCCACTTTAAGATGCCTTTTTAAACCACTCCATTCTATGCCACCAATAAACAAGCAAGTAAGAACCAGAAACGTTGCCGAGCTCTTAGACCATGTGACAACAAGAATGCACAAGGGGCCCATTGTAAGTACAGTTATAGTTCGGATTTGCATATTGGTTAATCCGAACCAGTCACGATTAATCATAGGAGATACAGCTGAAAGGGTAAATTTCATGTTTCTGGATTGATGCGTATTCAAATATGCATTTCTATCTTTCAAGAGGTTAAGAATGGATAGAAAAATAATACAAATCGAATAATTTAAAATACATTTGAGGGATAAATAAATCGAAGCCATGACTATTCTGTTTGAGATAGAAAAAAGGTAGCACACCCCATATAATTTGTTAAAGCAGAAACTTTACAGCGGCAGTGGTGAACGAATGAAAATAAACTCAAGGGATGTGGTTATCACAGAGGCATAAAAAATAGAAGCATTCACATTTTTAATTATAATGAATTCAGCGAAGCTCAGATAGCGCAAAATAAAAAAGTGAATAAAAAAGACAAAACCACAGGAAATTAAATTAAACCGAAATAGTTAATAAATATATTAGATTAATAACAACATTTTCCCCATTTTTTCCTCAATAAAACTTAGAGTTTTGAAATGGGAAAAAAACAGCAATAACTTTTTATACTCGATTTATCTACCAGCATGCTAGGTGATTAGGTGAAGTTGGAAATCATGAAAGCATTGAGTGCACCACCCCTGGCTTGAAAAGGGCAAGTGGGGGTCATGATCTTCGAAAGCGAAGAACTCATCACCTTCGATGGCTCCAATGTACTGGCGTGAAAAGGTGTAAAAAAGACATTTTATTTAAGACAAACGTTACTTGACTTTCATTCAATATGCTGAAAAGGAAAAGCGTGAAAGGAGTATATGCAAAACTGCCAAAGCTATTCAACTTTATAGCGAGCTAGCAAATACAAAAGGCAGACTACTTAGCACTTACATTTGTTTATCAACACAAAATAAAGTTGAATTGCATCATTCTATATGCTACCGTTTCGATTTTATGTAGTGAAAAAAGCATACGAAGTGAGGGAATTGTCAAAGGGTTTGAACTTTCTCCGCATTACTATATTTTTAGCATTCTCTTTATTTTTCACTTTCCTTTTCAATTCGGTCTAGCAACTTTTTTATTGTCTTCAAATTTCTCCCATGTTCATGTCCTCAAAAAATGCATTTTAATAACTAGTGATATGAGAAGTTCACAATTCAAACGTGCCCTCTCCCTTCTTCGATATCCGTCTATGCTTTCCTTTTTTTTTTAGAAGAAAATTTATAGAGACCACGTCGTGTTCATAAACCTTGGTAACAATGGGAGAACAAAGTAATATAACACTGCAATTAAAATAGTCCACACGATCACCGCCCCCGTCAGCGTTCCGCCTTGCATCATCCGCCATGTCCGTCGTTCGTTGCGATACCACTGCCCAAAAAGGCTTATGTTTGCCACGAGCCTTACCGTGCCCCAAGAAATGCTGCTATCGCACTCCACAACGAGTGGGCTGGCATCAGTGAAGGATAGCACGCCATGAGACGAGGGTAGCGACTTATTTCCACCACCTGACACCAATGGATCGCCTACCCCGCACACCTCTAAAACGAAACCAACAAAGGAAAAGGAGCTGCGATTCTTGAGCAACAAATCCGGGGAGTTGTTGCTGCCATCGGGTCCGTCACGAAAAATGCTTATGGTAGCCTGCAAATTGCGATTGTAAAAGCGTGCCGTAATGGCATCGATCAGCTGATAACGGCAGTCTTCCTTCGGACTGCGACCATCTTTAAGTGCCGAGATGTGCTCCACACCGGAGTCCGATGTCTCCTTGTCACTTGTACCTTCCATCTGAAGAAGCTCTTGCAGACGCTGAAACAGTAGCATGGCGACCCGGGAACCGGCCAAAGATGCAGCTCGAATGCGAGACTTCTGTCCGTGGCGCCTCTCCATCAGAAGTGGCTTCAGGTCCCATATGCGTACGCATGCGGTGTGGGCGTGTCCCGCTGCGGCACCACGTGAGCTCCTGTTGTGCCAGCGTGCCCCTGGTGAAGCACTGCCTCGTGGCCCAGTTATGGGGCGAGAAGACGACATTGGTGAAGATTCCCCACTAGCAGTCACTGAAGGGAGGCACGATGACGATGTGTTAACGTCCAGCAACTCGAAGCTCCGCTCACGCGGCAGATCATCCTGTGTATGTAAAACATTATCTACAACGCGATCCAACACATCAATTAGACGCTCCTCACGAACGTAGTAAGAAGACTCAAATGTGTAAAGCTTCGTTCCCTCGGCGTTACTAATAGCAACATGTCCAGCTAGCGGTAAAAGCCAAGACACAATAGGTACCGGGAAAAAAAAACACAGCAGCCAAATCGCTGCATGCGAACTCCGGTCCTCGGCGAGGAGGAGCACCCAGGAATCATTGAAACAGTCGGCATCTTTATAGATGGCGTAGAGCTAAGCCACGGTGTGGAAGAGCACGGAGCTTGTGAACCAAAGCAAGGAATAGAAGCTACTCCAGATACTTTACTGGTGTCCCCCCCACAGGAAGTACCATTTCTTGCGGAAGAGGTATCAATAGCACCTACCCCAAGGGTGTTTCTGTTGGACGAAGAGACTGGCGATTCCTGTGTAACTTGATTATCAGCTTGTGCGAATCCACCCTGTTTGGTAGAGTTAAGTAGTGGGGCAAGATTTTGATGAGATGTTAAAGGCATGTCAAGCAGGAATCGAGACGAACGGATCTGCTTACCGGATGAGAATAAGCCACTTTCATCAGCATTCCACCCCTTATGTACCGTGGAATATTGCCAACTAACTTCCACAGACTTGTCTTTCTGGGCATTCAAAGAGGAATCAGAAAAAGAACTGTCATCCCTTTCGCTTCCGTCAAAGAAACCTTGTGGAGAAATCTGATGTAAAGCATTGGTCTGGGACTCAGCAAAAAAATCCTTAGTTATTTTATCAATCTGGTTGTGCCTGCGGCGAGGAGGCGCTCGTCGCTGCCTATTATTGCAATAAAATGGCTTCGCTCTAGGAGGCGAAGTTGAATTCCTTATTCGGCGGGATTCAAAAGATGGCTTCTCAAGATCTGATGAATCTAGCATAATTTCCTCTCCTGTCCTTCGAATGAACGAGAATAGCCTCCTGTTAGTCTAGCAAGATAGATGAATTGGTTAGATATCCTGTGTCACACAGTCAGCCGATCACTAAAAAAAAAAATAGAAATATAGAAATATAGAAATCAACTGAGCTAATATTGCAGAATCAGTTCTCTGAAAATAAAGGTATGAGGAGAAGGCAAATGAGATTTACACAAAATGAATAACAAAAAAAAAAGCATTGCTGGAGCCTGCTCCTTGCTTTCGTTGGTGAGAATGTTTGTCTATGCATTAGGAATGGACAGAAGCACATCATTAACGAACACTGTCAAAATCAATAAATTAATGATGTGAATAGGCTACATTATTGTCTTGCCTAGTTAGAATCATGTCATATCGATACTATAGTTTATCACAGTACCGACAAAAAACCACTCTGTCATCATTTTCGTCAATAAAAAAATTAGTGTTGGCGGAAATGCCTTCCCCTAAGTCACGTTGTGTAACAGTCATGCATCGAGGGCAAAGCCACGCGAGATGTGAAGAAGTCATCGATGATGTTCCATTCAGCCCACAGGACGGACCCTGCGGCATCGTAGACGGTGCTACAATGTACGCCTCTGCCAATTGGTCTCTCCGCCCTCGTAATGAATCCGGGAGATCAGGCCCATCCCCTATATCGTGAATCGGTCCTTCACAGAAGACCATAGCAAACGATTTATCTAACATCTCACCAATGAGTGAGGGATGGAAACGCTCGGCGCAGAACCCCCCCGTGCTTATTGTGAAAGCCCGAATCCGACTACTTCCTGGTAGGTCAGCCTGCTCTCCAGATGCAACCTTCCCAAATGTAAACACTATTGTATTAAGCCTCATTGCTGTCACAGCGGCCACTGCCATAGCACACTCTGTGTTGTAAGTTACCTCTGAAGATTCTGTGCAGTCGCTGAACACTAAAAGTATGGAATGCGCGGCAGAAAGCACGACAGAGTTACCAGACTTGATGGGATTCCTTCTTGATGGTTGATAGTTTTCAAGCTTGTGTTTGTTAAGGAAGGCAAGAGATGTCAAAAGACCGCCTGCGAGACTGCTCCACACGTCAGCCGTCTTGAAACCAGCCTCCATGCGCGATGGCAACGCTCGCGTTCCAAGCAATATGCACTCACTCAAGAATGATGCCGAACGACTACGAAAAACAGTGGATATATCCTCATTTGACCCATCTACAGACGAATGCTGTTTTTGCTGAGCCTCATACGAATTGAAAGTAGGTGAAAAAGCCATATAAGGTGTTGGAGGATCCTTTACAGCGTGGTTACAGTCTGGCACAGCCGATCTGTACAAGCAGTGGCAGCCTACCACGGGGTCGGAGCGAAAGATAGCGATTTGCGGAGCAAAATCTGGTGATAAAGCTGAAAGACTATAAAACACGGAGGTGACACAGGAGACCACGCTAGAAACGAGATCCGCCCCGTAGTAACCATCTCTTGAATGCAGGACACAAGTTAATAAAACCATTATAATATGTATATTGGCCTACTCTCATCTCACTAAATCCCTACTATCAGTATTTATCGTCCTAGAACACGATTCGCTAAGGAAATAAATTTAAAAGTGGAAAAATGAGGAGTGCTAGCCAAAGAATACGAGTATAATCAGCCTTACTACGTGTAATATGTCGATATAGTCATAGGAATATTTCACTAATTCTCGTTAGAGAAGGGGAAAAAACACACTTTGGTTCAAAATAATCATACGCAGTAGTAAATCTAGAGGTAAAATGAAATATGAAGCAACATCGCTACGTCCACATTCAGAAATATTATCTATCCCATTCAAGATCATGACTAAAATTGTTGTAGAAGCGACGGGGAAGCTAACCAAGTATAGGTAACGTTATGCGTGATATAAGCGTCACAGAAACCCTACAAGAATTAAAGTAAAGACAGAGAGACTGTAGCAAAAATAAACTACACTTAAACTGTCAAAGTCTCGAGGATATAATGTGTTTTGAGTTCTAACAAAAAATAAAAATCATCGCAGATCACTTACACGTGAGTTGAGCACCTTCTTTCCCATTAGCAGCATCTTCTTCTGGACGCCATTAAGTGGACTGATATTGTCGTACTCCCGAATGGCATCCTCATAGGCATCAAGGTTTTCCGATTGTATAGCCTTAATGATATCCGTTATGAGCATATGCTGGCGAGTTAACGCATTGAATTGAGTCTCTAATTCTTGAAACTTATCAAATTGCTCCTGCAAAACCTCTACGTCATCCATCAAAGAGGACTCGCTCATACAGGCTATTTGTGCAAGAAGGGCATTGAAAAATAGATAACGCGCGTTGCAACGGGAAGCGCGATCATCTAGTGCCTCAAGTGCTTGTTCCTCATAAATATGTCTTGCACCCTCGTAGTCACCAAACAGCGCCTTTGAATCGGCCATCTTTAGTAGAACTTCTGAACACATAACCTTTGACCCCTGACTCCGGTAGTACTTTGCTGCCCTTTCAAGCCACATCATCGCCTCGTCACCGCCTGTAATCTCGCCAATGGCAGTGCACACCTTAGCGGCGTTTATGAAACTTTGTTTTTTGTCGTGCATCTCGAACACCCTTTTATATAGCTCTACAGCAGAATTCGTTTCGTTAGCTTTGATGAACATCTTAGCTGATTCCTCCAGCTCAAATGCCATTCCACGTTCATCACCATTCTTTGCAGAAATATCGGCAGCACGTTTCAACGCTGTTGCCGCCTTCAAGAAAGCACCCGCAGCTTTGTATTGTGTGGATGCCTGAATAAATTTATCATGTGCACTATCCGTTTTATCACTTTTGAAGAAGAAAAAGTGCTTTTTGAGGGCCTTCTCCCCATCCGCCATTAGAGCGTCACCTTTCTGCTCCATGGTGAGAAAATTGGCTAGTTTTCGTAAAAAAATGTGTATGTATATACTAACAGCAAACCTTCTGCAGTGTACTCCGCAGGAAAAAGCATGAAGATAATGGGGAAAATTAATTATGCAAATGAACAGAAACCAGAAATAATAACAAACCCTCCGGTTAGCAGACTATAAAGGCTCCTACTCTCTAATACACGGGAAGTATTTCATGTCATTGCGACAAATCAAGCCGTTTATACATAAGAATACATAAAGACAAATGAAAACCCACTCTTTTTAGATATTTCTTGTTCATGCATATGTCTTTAGGGGGGATAGTGGTGACTAAGAGCAAAACAACAGGAAAAAAACGCACTAAACTAATGGAAGAGGTAGATTACTTGTAATACGAAAGAAAACTATACTGGAAGTCATGGCCTTCATCTAGGATTAAAAGGTTAAGAGCATCCCTTGGTGGGAAGAAATCTCAGGATAAACGCAGCCATTCCGTTATCCCTGCTTACCTACAAATGTTCTGCCAAGCGCTATCACAAGTAGCGGGGGATAAGTCTGAATGCCATTTTGAGTAGAAATTTATGATTTGTAATTTTTCCAGCAACTATTCGCGGAAGGCCTGAAACCCCCCCGCTCCTACGCGTACACACCAAGTCAGTAAAATGAGAAATCCCATATTTTCGGAATTTTCTTAAAGAGCTTGCGCATGCACAGTATCTTACTGGGGGCATTTCCTTCTTTTTCATTCCTTCTCAATTCCTTTTAGGTTTTCATAAGCTCAACCCGCTTTACGATACCCCTCTGTTTTTTTCATTCACCTATTCCGTTTTTCTGGACTAAGCCGGCTCAGGTTACGACCTCCACTCGTCATCTCCTTCTTCTTGCGTTGCGCCCGCTCCTCGCGTTCGCGCTTACATACCAATTGTGCCTCCATGCGCCTGCGGATTTCCTCATGAGAAACAACCTGATCATTATCAAAGCCACTCAAAAGGCTATTCTCCACGATGAGGTTTGCACTGGGGAGGTCTGCTGGGCGCACCAATTGCTGAGCGCTTAGGGCATTGTGAACCGTAGAAGGTGCGATGGGAAGCACCATGATGGGGTCTGTTTCGTCGTTGTCGAACTCGATGGCTGATAAAGCTGGCAACAGATCCAAGCAAGGGCTTTCTGTTTTTGCTGAAAGGGCGTTATCTTCCGAGTCGGTGTCTGCAGGTTTTGGACAAATAGTTGATTCCATGTGAAGCGGAGTGTTGTAATTGCGTCTACGACGCTGCATGGCGCACAATATTCGTGTTACGCGTTCCTCAATGACACCCATAAAATTCATTAAGTTTGACTCGTTGCAACATTGTTCTTTAACAATAGTAATGTCCTTCATAGAGGAGCAGCCGATCTGGGCATAGACATTCTCGGTAGTGGCTATGACGATAGAAAGATCATCTCGCATGCGTCCTATAGAATTCTGTACTTGCTCCAGCTTTGACTCTGTAGCTGCAAGGTTCTCTTCCAGTTGCTTCACCAGTTGTCGGTGCCCCGCCTCACTCTTATTCTCCTCGTCAAGGAGGTTTTTCAAGTCTCGGATCTCATCATTGAACGCCTCCTTTGCAGCAGTCAACTCGTTTATGAGCCTATACATAGAATAGTTAGAGTCCCCTAGTTGCTGATACTTTTCAAGAATAACATTAGGGTCATCTTCATGCAGCGACTCACGGAGTTGCGCAATGATCTCTTTTATAGTGCCGGTTTCATGCTCCACACGCAGCGCATTCGCCATTGGGCTCAAATCGTCACTGGAGTCGTTGTCCTCGTCGGCACCACAACAACGCCGCGAACCGGCACCAGCACCGACATCAGACCTGTTGGTCGTGGTGTTGACTTCCAAAAGTTGTTTTTCAAACTCATACTCGCGCGCTTCTAACTCCAACTGAAGGTTTGCCTGTTCCTCGCGCATGGACTTGATTTCCAGCATCGCTAAATCCAATTCATGCAACTGCTTTGAGTTCTCCTCCTGTTGTAGTATGATTGCCTCTCTTAGCTGATCCAATTCACGCAGATACTCATCACGCTCGTCCATGTCCTTGTTGGTCTGCTCAAGATATTCGGACATAAGGCTCTTCTTACTACGAAGGTCATCTTCCATTTTTTTATGCACGCGCTGGAATACGCGTCGTTCCTCTCGAATTATGGAGATCTGGTTGCGTAATTCCTTGTTGTATGAAAGTGCATCATTGAACTTACCAAGAGCTTGATCCAGGCGATTTTCAAGAATATCAACCTGGCGCTGAACTGATTCGGCCTGCTCCTTCTCCACGTTTATACCACCTTTTTTCTTTCGACTCTGAAAGAGCTCGATACGGGCCATTTGGTAACGCTTCATGAGGTCATTCTTTCGCATCTTTTCAAACTGGTAGCGACGCTCAAGAGCGTCGACCTCCCCCTGAAGCACTGCCATCTTGTCCGCCTTTACATAATCGTAGTGACTTCCCGAGACAGCAGTAATCTCATTCTTGAGATGGGTATTTTCTTCGATTATTGCTCTAATTTGTTCCTGCTGCTTCATGCTCTGGACCTGGGCGCTAGCAATGCTATTCATCAACTGCGAGCAGCGGGTGACATCCACCTCTTTCGCGGTGCCAACATTGCCGCCAAAATCCTGCATCGAGAATATCTCTCAAGACAGACTGTGGGAATGATTAGTTTTCATTTTATAGAGAGTAAGATAACATTAAAAAGGGAGCAAAAAGAAAAGTTACGAAAAAACACAGACAGAAAATCACCTCAAAGAGTGCTAAATAAAACAATTTAGATTTACGAATAGTATCACCTGAACAGAATGGGCACAGGGTGGATTTGCAATGCGTATTACATCCATCCTATCAACATGATCGCAATTAGTGGTCTTGTTAGTCTGCACGTCCACAGCCCTTAAATGGCACATGGGTAGAGCTTGAAGGAGCTTGTTAAAATCGGTCCATAATTATTTACTCCATCATGAAAATTTTACTTCAACCTCTCGCATGTAACTCACACGTAGTACTTGGTAATAGCATTGCTATTATATTTAATAAAAGCAAGGCCTTTGCTATCAGCATCACATAGTGCCATTTTATCTTACACCTTTTACCAAACCTGTGTTCATATGTGTGAATTCCAAACAGGCCCCTATGGTTTAATTCAAATGTACAAAGGAATAGTTATCGATTTCGATACATCATTTATTATTATTATCATTACCCTTCCTTTAAACCCCGAATAAGCAGGCAAATAAAGGAGGAAAAGTGTATTGCCGCTAGTTTTGACCATTTTAGTAGCAGCAACAACAAAAAACTACTTAATTATGTGCCTAAATATTTATAAGCATTAAGACTTTGCATGGCTTATACGCTCATAAAACAACATATAGGCTCCAAAGGATGGTGGCTTGTCTAGATCCATAACGTAAGAGCGGGAATCATCAAAATACACCCACTTGTTTATGTTATCATTGAAAGCGTACGCAGTGTAATGTCCAAAGTTGAGCGAACCACTGTGATACACTACGCCGCGTAGGCGATATACTGTATCCTGAGTAAGCAATGCAGACTCCACATCCAGGTACGGCGAGAAATCAAATTGTAAGGGAAAATCAACGGGTGTAGTGTTTTTATCCGCATGATATGTATTTATCATCTTTAATGCTTTGAAGGATATAATCAAGCACGGAGGGACACGGAAGACATTTCTTTGCAGCCGCGCCTCGCGAAAATCCTTACAGTGCGGGCAGTACCAGGAGTTGTCATCAGTCAGTGTGTCCGGTATCATAGATTGCTCAAGGCAGTCGTAGAGCGTGCACATGGGATCGGAGTCACCGTTCTCCTCACGATTAGGTAATCTAAGATATGCACTGTGAGAACGTTCTGAGTTAGATCTCATTATCATCCGTGGTACTTTGACACGGAAGCAATCACTCTTGAAGCACAAAAATATCGAAACATTGGTTATCTTGTCTACACAAGCGAGCCCACCATGAGTACTTGCCCCTGACTTGTGCTTTTTCCTTCTCTTGACTTTTACTGCATCATATGTACGAAGCCCTTCTAGCCAATCGTCCCCGTCAGTTTTCGAACATTCATTTATATCAATAAGTAAACTCTTCCCTGACAGACAGTGCATGACTTTTAATGGAACAGTGTCATGCTCTTTAGCATGGCTTTCCAATGGGAAAAATACTGAAGCATCATCATGATCATCGGACATGGAAGCTGGAGGGGCAAAAAAGCCTTTGGGCTCTCCAGAACACGGCACAAGAAAACTTTGAGCAATATTCCTGCTTAGACTAAGAATGTGATTCGAGAACGGTGCTGGGGCGGGCCTAGACGAACTCAGACTACCCTCTTGTGCAAGATATACCCCCTCATTTCCCTCCCATCCACCTGCTGCATCGGTTTTGGAAGAAAAGGAATCTTCGGTGCAAGGAAATGAAAGGGGGAGCTCTTCAACATAGATTGGTGTGTCATGTGCAGTTAGAGAATCACCATCATCGCACTTTAGGAAGTACCATATTCTATACCCACCAGAGCGTGAAAAAGACTCAAGATTGGTTTCCTCTTTATGCTTGATATCTGCAAAGCCAACTCTGCTGCTGCACTCCACAGTTCCACGCATTACACATCGAGCCCACGCATATACCTTGCCAAAACCCTTCGTAGGCACATCTAAAATTTCAACATGATAATCAAACTCAACAGGTTCTTCAGTAGGGTCTACGTCTGTCGGAAGATTCGATGCTATTTTTTTCTTTAGTTCCAGGCAGTCACAAAGCGCATTTCGAATCGCTTTTTTGAGCTTCATCTCCGAAGTTACACCACTTTCGTCATTCATTATATGCACATCAATAGATATGCAAACCACCTGATCTTCTAAGTTAGCTAGCATTGATCCCGTTGAGTACCCCTTTGCATTGTCCCCTGATACGCCAAAAGGAGGCTTCTGGACCACAACGATAGCATTCTGAGTTTTAGTTTCACGAATGCTAAGAGACAATGTAATATTGTTATCGAAAACTACACTTGTTTCCTCACATGTTAAGCACGTAAACACTGTTTTTGATTGATGGAAAAAGTCTTTGGATATAAAACTAGTATTGTTATCTAAAAAGTTATTCCAAAAAATCTCTGAAAGCTGAATGAGCGGGATGTTTTTGTCTGTGTCAAGACGCTCACGGTAACACCTTTCTGACACATCGTTAAGCTCCTCTTGCATTCGATCAAGGAGAACCTCAACAAATTCGCAAGCATCCTGCTGCTGATGCCCGGTGAATCGCTTCACCTTTTGACCAATGAAACTATACAAGGTCGCTGTGTTGACATATTCACTATGACCACTCCACATTTCAGCTAGCAGATCCACCACACTCGATGTCAATGGGGCATTCGTGTAGTGCGACACTGGAAAGTAAAGTATTTGGTCCCGAAAATGGGGAATATTTGATAGGCACTGCAGTGCACTATTCATATAGCAGGTGTTACCGACATTTGTAAGGCCGCACAAGCCACATCGCTTGACAGTTTGGAGAGTCACAACAGATGAAATGTTTTTCTCATGTCCAATCTTGGTAGTTCGCAGTTGCAATTCAATACCAATACTCAGCTCCTGTTGAGGCTCAAACTTCAGATGTTCTCCTAGTTGTTCAACCATAGTTTTGATCAGAGACGACATGGTAAGGCCATGTGCATAGAATTCTATATCCAATGGAGGCATTAAGAACTCGGAATTTAGATGTTTAGCCCTAACAATCAGTGAAGTAGGTCCGTTCGTAGCAGCAGCCCACAACTGTAACTGAACAGCCGACATTGCGTCCTCTTTCTTTAAAATTTGGTACGCTAAACGGATGACCTCTGTTATGTCTGTACGATACAAGGCATTTTCCACAAAAACGTGCACATTTTTCTCCTCCAAAATATCATCTACAGTCTGGAACCAGCAAAAAGAAACCTCAATTCTCAAGTCTATAGGCTTCAGTGCGCGAATAAACTGATCCCTTAAAGTGAAATCGCCATAGGTAGTATACTTGATTCCACATCCAAATAACTGCGATAAGAGGCAGAAAAGGCGCTCTGGAATGACATCAACTGAATTTTTCACCTCTGGGAGAAGCCAGTGTTTAGAGGGATTGTGAGAGTCTACTTTCATACAGGGAAATGTGTCGATCGGGCCTGGAATCAAAGACATGTCCCGCTCCTCTCCATTGTGCAGCAAAAGCCGCATTAGCCAATCAAGAAGTCCAGTCAGCCACGACTTTAGGACTACGACGCCCCGAAACAGTCCAGCCTTATTTTTCAAGAGACTCCTTTGCATGCACAAGATGTATATCTGATTGGAGAATTCTTCTGGATCGAACTGATCGATACGCTTGTCAAACCAAATGGGATTGACGAAATTATACGCGTTTTGTGATAGAGAATGAAAAAGAGGAAAGAAAGAAGCTATCCATACGCCTGCATCGGCTATCAGGAGGATTTCCAAGTCCTGGAGCGAATCGATCGGTGTCTCTGATACCGCACTAGAATACCTTGAACTCATGGAATCTGGCAATTGATGCGATGCCACCCAATTGTCAAGTATCTTCTTGCTGATTAATTTAATCTGCGGTAAACTATCACGGGGGCTTGGGGGATGGCAAAGGCGCAACCAGTCCCTTGTGACATGAGAAGTAATGAGTTCCAATCCGGATATAAAATTCAGGCGTGCTGCATGAATTGTGATAGGAAGAGGCCTCAAGGTGCTCAGTTCCCTTTTCTTTCTGAATTCTTGTTTCAACACATCACGAACGATTGACAAAGCAATTCCAAACCATTCAAATGAAAACCCTTCAGCACCATCGGGTTGCTCTGCTATGGCAGATTCCAGTGAAGCTCCTGAACATTTGCGGAATGACTTAGTAGTGCCATCGAAGTAGATAAAACATTCACGAAGGCGCAACAAAATATCGCTTAGACACGCTTCAACAGGATTAGTCACAACAACAGCCGGAATTGACTCCTCATTAAAAGTCTTTAAAGGATCATTTTGATGTGAATAATCGGACACATCGTCGTTCATTGTCAAGTCCTCTTCTAGATCAACAATAGAGCCTAGTAGATTGGGATTATAGTGATTTTCCTGTAACCCGGGTTCTTCACAAAAAGCTGTCAGGGCATTCTTCGTTGAATCATTCTTAATATCATCCATACTTTTCCAGGTAAATCAAGTCCAGAGTATTTAGGTTAAGAGTTTTTGATAAAACCTTTTCTTATTAATTGATACTAAAAAAAATAATTTAAATGTATGCGTTTTACGTATCTAGCGACAAAATCACACGATGTAACAAAACTATGTGTTGCTTTTTTTCCTTCGGAAAATGTGTTGTTGGTGGAGGAAAGGAGATTCCCTTGAACAATATTTAACTCATTACTAAATTTGGTTTATAATAAAAGATATTTTTTGACTTCTTAAAGTCATTTTTAACATTTACGCAAACAATAGGGCGGAATTAAAAGTTGGTAATCCTTCTACTGCTACTGACAACGTGCTTAAATTTATTTTAACTATCAATCTGTTGCGCGTTTAAGTGCTTTAGTATCTCGAACTTTTGGATAAGTCGATGACGGCAAGCTGTACTCAGGCTGATCACCAGGCTCAAACACCCTTTGTGAAATGAACAACAATACTAAAAGACCAATCATAAGCATCATCAGGACGGGTAATGTTTCTGAGGAAGCCTGTGCACTCCCTATAAACCCGTGAATATGCCCCCTTGATACAACAATCAAATCATTTATACCATCACCGTTAAAATCCATCACAATTACAGGAGCAATTGGCGGCTCCTCTAATGCAACACTACATGAAATCAAACCCGTTTTAATGTGAATAGATGTCAACATGTCCTCACCAACGGCAAGAATATAGGAATCGGCGCGAGTGTATTGCTGTCCACCACCACCTACATAACTAACGTCTTCCTCAGCGCTCTTTTGATTCAATGAATATGCTACTAAATGAGGAAAAGATTTTGGACGATTATCTTCTTCAAAGTCGTGTAAATACATCTTCGCTTGATGTGCGTTTGTTACTTCAGAAAAAGAGGAGCTAGTCTGCACACGCCAGAGCACACGCCTACGTGATAAATCCACACATGTGAGGAGGCCACTGTTTAGCATAAAAACTGCGTAGCGTTCAACCTGAATCAGGTCTAGGAACTTCGATTGATGCACTTGAACAACCAAGGGCATGACACTAAAAGTTGTTTTGGATACTATGTTTTTACTCCCCAAAAGTTCGAGGGTGTTGAGAGCACGCGGCACGCCCTCCCCACGAATGTCACCGTCAACAAAACGATGAATAAGGTCTAAGTTGCCGAAAAAACCTTGCGTGTCGCAAATTGTAACGTTAAATATTTCATCTTCCGCGGACGGGATACTCGTATAAATGATACCTAAGCAATCATCAACTATATCCACCCCGTGGTTGGAGTATGTTGAGACGCGTGGCCCTATTTGCGTAGTAACAGATTCAATATGAAAATCATCATCAACGTCATGATAGTAAGAATTGTACGCTTTAAGTGGAAAAAGCGTGGTTATGACGTTACCAGTATACATGTGAAGCACCACCACGTCATTTTTACCATGGTACACAAATGTGTTCGCAAGCCTGCGATGAGAGCGTGGCTGATGTTGATCCTTGGCCGTCGCCGTCTTGGCTGCATGCATGCCCTTAGTATGTTTTTCCTTCAAAAGAGCAATCTTTTCGCCTAGCACTCCATAGTCCTCTTCGTTCACATGAATAATATGATTATTAAGTTTAGATGTCGATCTTTCACCACGCCTGTGTGCCTTTATTGTTTTAGGGTGCTTAGCTGAATATATAGTATGCGGCTTTAGTTGCACATCCCATGGGTGGGCATAGTGGTGTGGGAGAGCGGCAATCACAGTTTCCCGGAACGTAGTCCATGGCTTTTCATAAGGATGACCTTGTCGCTGCGGGGAATGGTGTATTTGATGCAGAATATTTGTATGACCCTTCTTTTTAGTCAGATTAATATTAAAAATATCATCGCCCTCAGACGCTTTCAAGGGCAACGTGTGGTTTGCCTCGTGAAGAATATCATCCATTTCGCCCCCCCCATGAGAAAAAAAGCCCCATCGTGCCTCTCCATTCTTTCCATTGAAGGCGGCAAATCGGGTAAAGACAGCTCCATCAGAGTTGGTTATTTTAACCGCTACCGTCACCATACCGACGTCATCCCCATAAACCCGCTCTGGAACAACAGAAATAGCTACGTTATGTGCAAAGTCCCAACTACCAGCCGGCACTACAGTCGTCTTCCATAAAATTCTAGAATGCATGCTGCTTATGTCAATAGCACTTAATTCATAATTCTTCGTTAGTACACAAACGATGGGAACAGATGCATTTTCTTCCAGAAACCCGGTGGCGATCGCAATAATCTGAAAGTCGAACAAAATCTTCATTATGGGCCGGAGAGGTAAAACAAAGCGTCCACTGACAAACCGAGAGTTTGTGGTTTCAAACAGGCCAAGATGCGTTTCTGAGGTAGCAGTCAAAAAAAAGCGCTTGCCACTTTCCCTAAACACAATGAGGAGGGGCTTTGGTATAATATTAGAGTTCGTTTTGTTATTTTGTATTGGTATTTTGAATCCGCATCGAAAGTTCAGCGCGCTCTCTTGAGACCAAACAATGGTACAGCAAATTATGACAACAGCGACGATCGCAACGTCACGGAGATGCATTCGACGATGATGCTTATCAAAGTGATGTATTGGAATTGGTTAAAATTTAAAAGAATAAAAAATTACAATACTAAGTTGAGGACTACGCAATGAAGCTATAGTGAGTTTCTTTTTAAAGATGGGCAAGGATACATATAATGTTAACAGATAGAGAAGATTACAACTATGCATGTAAACAAAAGATACATTTGCACCTAAATAAATGAAACACAATCAGCATCATAACGACATTCGCCATAGTAGATTCATTGATGCTAACAATTACTGAACAGAGAAAACAGTGAACATGTGCACACAATGTTTTTCTTTTGGCATATGTACCTTCTCAAGTACAAAACTAACTCATCTTCAACAAGCACAAAACGATAAAGGTAAATTATACTATCGCACACCGGAAAAGACTCTCACCGCACTCAATGCAACTCAAACGAAATTTTTCACCTTTACTGCACTACATACTTGTGATACTTCGAAAACTAAGGCATAAATATACCCTATCTGCATTCATTAGGCAGCTATTTAGAGTGTACATTAAAGATATAAAAGGCATTCATCTGGTCAAACCGTCACAATTCGCCGTGAGTGCTCCTTGAATGGCATCAAACATTAGCCCATCTATGCGTTCTACGAATATTCGAGTGTAAAAATAAAGATCCAGAAACCAAAGCGTGCACCTTTGGAATTCCAATTCTTCAAGCACTCATATGAACTCAATGAAGAAAGAAAGGCAAAAAAAAAATTTTCAATACTCGATTTTTGGGCTAAAATTCATCAATTTCTATTTATATAGACTCCTCTGAAGTTAAAAGAAAAAGAGCACTTGATGATAAAAAAAAAACATCTTGGATTAAAGCTCTTTGCATGCATATGTATGTAGTATTTAAAAATAGTTTACCTCAAAGGCTTAGACTGATCATCTTCTTTAAAGTAGTTATTATGGACATTTTGCTCTCTTAATAAAGATAATTCGATGTTATAAGGTTCTGTTTTACATTAGATACATTTCCAATCGAGAAAGTATAATAGAAATACATAATGAGTGAAGTGATATAAAAAATAAAAAAATAAAACCAAGAAGAACTAGAGACAATATTGAGCAAATTGAGTTATTCGTGTAGTTGACAGTTGTTGTTAATCTAAATAGGAATAGCGCTTTTTAAAAAGTATGAAAACGCGTTGCGAAAAAAATTCCTATAAATCTCCTGCTACATGAAATATGTCTCTATTATTCATTTGACTATGGACGCAAAGAAGGATTTACTAAGCAGTAAGCATAAATATCATCTTTATTGGAGATTGTCCTGCTTTGAGGGAAGGAAAAAGAATGCTAATTGATGATAAATTTGATCGTACGCAGTATAGAGTTAGGCAGAAAGCACTCAGAAGATCCAGAAGTTCAATGAAGTTCAAGAAAATAATCATTTTCATCATTGCAATGAAATCATTAAAGAAAACATGTAAACAGTGCATTATTCATAAAAAATGCTTAGTGGTATGCATGGACAAAAGCGAGTAATGAATCTGCCATGCCATCGTAAATTCGTGGCACAATAGTGCATTGAAAAGTTACGGAACTGTCCAAAGGGTGATAAAACAAAGCGTAAATAACCAAGAGAAGTAAGAACAGAAAAATGAAACCTTAATGGTTGCTTAGGGAACCTCAAGGAGGGCCACAATTCCACAAATACGCGAAGTGATAAATTAGTGTCTCACAACATCAAATCCATGCATCTAGGCATTTCGTTCAAAGTTAAAAGCGTCTCCATATACCAAGAATAAAGCTCCGAACCTTGAGCTAAAGGGAAATGTAACTCTGGCTACTCGAACTAAAGTGCTTACGAATTTCATGATACACTTCTCCAATTATTGAGTAAGCAGATTTTAAAGTAATTATTTGCATATACTGACAGAATTCCCAAATAAATCTACTTCATGCATAAAAACTTTATAAAGCCTCTGAAAACAATTTTTATTAATAACTCCTGGAGGATTTAGGTTTTAAGGAAATCTGCTTAAACTAGCCAATCATCTACACAAAACAGTCGGCGAAAACGGAAACCCTCTTCAAGTAAAGAATATTTTATTTTAGTAGGTTAGAGCAGCAAAATGACCATAAGGATTTAAAGTATAGATAAACTCTGGTTTATGGTTGGGATTCCTGCATTTTTACGATCCACTGCTGTGATGTTTTTATCGTAGCACTTTTCTAAGGTTAATATCAATACACAGCACCTTTTTAATGGAAGCAATTTTAGAAAGCAAACAGCCGCACGAAACTCCAACCCCTCATTGAAAGGGGAACGGTATGTATTTGGTTGGCATCTCCCCACAAGAAAGAGGCGCTTGACGAGTTGGATCACCCTGGAAGTCGCGACGGACAATTGGGATAGGTACCCACTATGGCTCGGCGTGATGTTTTCTGGAATAATTGGAAGAAAGTCCATTCGATTTTGTGGCAAGGCTCTTGTAGGCTGGTTTTCCCAATTCGCGGCTCTACAACCCTGCATCAAATAAAGTAAAACATATTAATAGTTGATAGTGATTCTAACAAGTTGCAAAATACGAGCAAACACCATATATATATTCGAAGATCTACGCACAAATATTCAAAAAAGAGATGGAAGAGAGAGGAAGCATTTAGGGAACACACAAAAAATGGTTTCGATGGATTTAAAGGGCTAAATGTGCTATTAAGATTAAGAAATACAAAATAATATATAGCGAGTGAATTTTCAACATTCCTATTATAATTGGCGTAATCTGAAGAGAAGTGTCAACTTACTAACCAGCGTGTTAAATATTATTTTAAGGATAGAGGCAAAAAAAAAGTAAAAAATTATAAACATAATATACGAGGCTCCGCGGTATCTTAAAAAAAAAACAGAATAAAGTCACTATAAAGAATGACAGGGCTCATCAAGATCATTCCCGGAATATTAACCTGAAAAACAATTAAGTGAAAACGATACGATGCACCAAAAGTAAGCAAAACATTAAAATAGATTAAAACATAAGAAACCTCTCTGCAAGGCATAAATACGTCGGATATAGAATGCAAAAAAATTCTAAACCCCCTGCTCTAAAGAAGTACCAAAAATTAAGATAGATTTTTAACAAATACGCAAATTACTTAGAATCAGATAAGAAAATAATAAGATAAACAAGACATAATATACGAAAAAAAACTCGTATCGCAAATAAAAGAATAATTCCAACAAAAAAAGAAAAACATAAATTAAATCACTTAAACATATATCACTATAAATAAAGATAAGAAATAGACTTAGATAAAGAAATAAATTAGAAAAACAGACGTAAATTATAATAGTTTACCCAAGAATACAATTATTAATTACCGGACTCTCAATTAAGAAATCCTGTATGCGAACAGAATCCAAACGGCATTGAGGGGCTTCTTAATTTCCCTTCCTGACGCCGCCTCGCCAGGCCTCCCTGCGTCCCAAAGATGCAAGCCGTGGTTATCATGTCCTTGAAATAGAAGAGGCGCACACAGAACATGGCACAGGTGTATGTTATAGCAATAAAAAAATCGAAACAGTCTGGCAAGGGCGTATAAAAGTGACTCTAACAAGTGTAAAATAATGAGATAACATCGTAAAATTTAGGAATCACAGAAAAAGGTTAGTGTATTTAATGATCTCAGGCTGGTTCTCGGGGAGGTGCTGACACGATCCTCCACACGCAAACAACGTATCAATGTGAAAGGGGTATGAGAACTTGGGCTCACGGGCTTCCCTTTGCCATACGCACCCTACTCTCTCAGAAAGCAGCAAGAAAGGAAGGTGTTTAGAAGTCCGACCGCGAAGGCAACCGCAAAGAGGAAAAAACCATAGTTGAAGAAAACCGAACTCCCATGTAATTCGACCATCGCAGCACACAAATCTTCCTCCGCAGGCCCACGGGTGTTGTAAAACGAGTCTAGAATAACCGCGCATACCACACACGCACACACTGACCCCAGAAAACTCAGCAAAATGCACGCCTTTTCAATGCCATGGCAGTAGTCACAGCAGCAGCATCCAGAGAAAATGAGGCAAAGTAGATACATAAGGACACCAACTATTGAGCAAGCTTGCGCCACGCGAAATAATACATTACGTTCAGGACACATTTTCCAGCTATCACTCACCTCAAATAAATTTTTAGGATCATAACATTCTGTTCGATACCCCCACAGTGTGAAGCAGGGGTTGCCACGCCCCTGAACAGAATGCTTTAGGTGGTAGATACCAAGGAAGTTGGCGACCACCATCGCAGCAAGCGCAATAAAGTGAAACAAAACTACTATAGCACGGCCACACCCACGGACAGCCATTTCTGCACGAATGAGTAGACGACCTTTGCTTGGGTATTCCCCGGAGAAGAGAACTTTCCTAGGTAAGGTTGAAAGGTGTGGAGTAGTCAATCCTGTTGTGCGTGGGTCAAACAGAGAAAGCCTGGGATATAATCTTAAACCTATCCCTTGGAAACGGAAGGGGGTGAGTGAGAGCAGCAAGTTGTGTGCTTGTGTGTGTGTGTTTGAATGTCAGGTGGTGTTATTAAACTAGGAGAAACAAGAAGAAAAAACGTGTGAAGTAGAACAAGATGCAAATGCAGAGGTGCACGCTGGGAATTGCAGTTACTGTTGTCCAGTATACCACACCTTTGGTGCGTAATCCCGATGCATATATTCAGGAAGTTTAAGAAAAACAAACTGCAGTTACTTTTCCTATCAAATCTAGACATATAAATGGGCATATGCGTATTACAAATCATTTTATTCAAATCAAATTCAAAAGTAACGGAACCCTCCAGC